CCTACGGCACTTGCCCGCCATCGAAAAACTCCTGAACACACAGGAAATGCTTGACTTGCAAGCCACTTACGCGCGCTCCCTTGTGACGGAAGCATTGCGCGCCGTCGTTGCTGACATCCGAAACGATATTCTGAACGGAGACCACACACAACTGCCGGAATATACGGAATACGCCGAACGAACGCTCCAGAAAATTGAGGCAAAGATTGGGGCACGCATGCGTCCCGTCGTCAATGCAACAGGCACGGTTACACACACCAACTTAGGCAGATCGTTATTAAGCACTGCTGCTTGTGAAGCAATCCAGCAAGCCGCACAAAACTATGTCAACCTCGAATACGACATCGCAACAGGCAGACGTGGACATCGAGATAGGATCACCGAACCCCTTCTACAGCAGTTGACCGGCTGCGAAGCATCTACAGTCGTTAATAACAACGCCGCAGCGGTTTTGCTCGCGCTTCAGACGATGGCACGCGGCAAAGAGGTCATCGTCTCACGAGGGGAACTGATCGAAATCGGTGGGGCATTCCGAGTTCCCGACGTAATGGCGGCAAGCGGCGCAGTCCTCCACGAAGTCGGCACCACCAACCGAACCCATCTCCGAGATTACGCCGAGGCTATTAATGAAAACACGGGACTATTGCTCAAAGTGCATCCGAGCAATTACAAAATTCTCGGTTTCACTTCAACGCCTGCGATGGAAGAATTAACGGAACTCGGTGCCCAGCACGGCATTCCAACGATGGAAGATCTCGGAAGTGGCGCACTCATTGACATGACAGCTTATGGGCTTCCACATGAACCGCTCGTCGGAGAGCGAATCGCCAGTGGCGTTGATATCGTTACCTTCAGTGGCGACAAATTGCTCGGCGGACCCCAAGCCGGAATTATCGTCGGTAAAGCGGAATGGATTGAAAAGATGCGTAAAAATCCGATGATGCGGGCACTCCGGGTCGATAAACTCATCATCGCCGGTTTGTCAGCAACATTGCAACTCTATCTCACAGAAGATGCCACCATAACTGAACGGTTTCCGATGCTCAATCGCTATACCCGATCAATAGAGGCACTCCATGCCGTTGCCACAGAACTCAAGACGCAGTTGGAACCCCTCTTCGGGGAAAAAGTCGGCATTCAGGTCTCGGAAACCTACGGACAAATAGGGAGTGGTGCCCTCCCTGTCGAGACGTTACCAAGCATCGCACTTGTCCTTGAACCTTCGGAGTTTTCCGCTGAAATGCTCGCGGCGCAGTTCCGAAACGCTACGATTCCCGTCATCGGTAGAATCAAGGACGGTCTTTTCTGGCTGGACCTGCGGACAGTTTATGAAAGAGAACAGGCTTGGATCGTCGAAACTGCCACACAAGTCGCAAAAATTTCTTAATTACGAGCCCCTGGACTGCTCTCCAAATGTAAAGCAAAGACAAATTATGCCATTTAAGGCATAATTTCATTACGAGCAGGTTTTGGTGGGTCCACAACTACCATAAGAATTTGTACGGTATAACATCAGAACCGTAACACGTAACGTAGCCAAAATACGGAACTCGTAGCCTGCAACAACGGCGCAGGCGGATTTGAGAAAGCACGTTAAAGACAGAACCCACATCGTTTAACCGCAAGGAAGAATTAAAAATCCGCAAGGTAAGTTTAAAAATACTCATCGGCATTGTCAGTGTAGGTATATACGCCTGCACGCAAAGCGAGGAGGGTCCACCTGAACCAACTCCAGAAATTGTCTCTGAAGTTGACGGTGCGACAATGGTGTTGATTCCGGCAGGCACGTTTCAGATGGGCTCCACCATCGGGGATAGCGATGAACGACCCGTGCATACCGTCACCCTCGATGCATTTTACATGGACATGCACGAAGTAACGAATGCACACTATCAGAAATTCGTCCAGAGCACAGGATATCCGCAACCACCGCTGTCGCATAACCCAAGGTTCAATGCCCCCGATGTCCCTGTTGTTCGGGTGAACTGGCGCGATGCGGCTGCGTACGCAACGTGGGCAAATAAACGGTTGCCTACCGAAGCAGAGTGGGAATATGCCGCACGCGGAGGTCTAACTGGTAAACGATATCCGAATGATGATATAATAACTTATACAGACGCCAATTTTGGCAGCACAGGCGGAGCGGATAGGTGGAAGTGGACAGCCCCCATTGGTAGCTTCCCACCCAACGGCTATAATCTCTACGATATGGCAGGCAATGCCTGGGAGTGGTGCTTTGACGAATACAACAGTGAATTCTATAGCATCAGTCCACAAAATAACCCGCGCTTCGGCAGAGAAATTGCCCCAGATACCGAAAACTTCCGTATTCTACGCGGCGGTGGTTGGGGCGGGAGTCCCGAAGATCTCCGAGTCGCAGATCGATGGTATCACCTCTCATCTGGAAGCACGATTGGATTTCGATGTGTGAAGGACATCCCACAAACAGAAGAGTAGCCACCAGTTAATCTACCCGCAAGGGAAAATTGGCGGTTGCCGGTTAGCAGTTGGCAGTCAGTTAAGAAGTTTTCGTCTAACACAGGGTTCCTCTTAAGATAACCTCAAAACCTGTAGCCTGTAATGAAATGGAAGGCGGATATAAGAAAGGCAGCCGATAGTTCTGATCCGCGTTATTTCTCCGCAAGGAAAATTAAAAAAATGGCAGTTGCAGTCGAATTAACACATGTCACAAAAGCCTTTGATACGACGCTCGCCGTCAACGACGTGAGCTTGAAAATTGAGAAAGGCGAATTTTTCTTCCTTCTCGGACCCCTCCGGATGCGGAAAATCAACCTTTCTCCGAATCGTCGCCGGGTTCTACAAACCCGACACCGGCGAACTACGATTCGATGATACCGTCATGAACGACGTACCACCGCACCAACGCAATACAGGCATGGTATTTCAGAACTATGCCCTGTGGCCCCACATGTCCGTCGCCGAAAACATTGAATACGGACTAACGCTTCGGAAACTCGAAAAAACGGAACGAAACGAAAAAATCACGAGCGCGCTTGAAATGGTACAGATGGAAGATTTTCGGGACCGCGCCGTCAACACACTCTCTGGTGGACAACAGCAGCGTATCGCCCTCGCCCGTGCCCTCGTTATTGAACCGAGTGTCCTACTCCTCGACGAACCGATTAGTAACCTTGATGCCGCACTCCGACAGCAAATGCGCGACGAAATAAAGCAGATCCACGACCGTACCAACATTACAATGTTCTACGTCACACACGATCAGGTGGATGCCCTCTCTATGGCGGATCGGATGGCAATTATGCAGGACGGTGTCGTTATCCAAGTCGGCACACCGCGTGAGATATATAAGTGTCCAAAGAACGCTTTCGTTGCCAGCTTCGTCGGGGAAACCAATTTTATTTCAGGCAAGGTCGAGCAGGCATCAAACGGTAGTGCCACTATAGAAACACCCGCCGGAATACTTCACTCCACAAGCGTTTATCACGAACTAACACACGGGACACCTGTGCAGTGTTCAATTCGACCAGAGGCACTTATTGTTGACGACGGCCAGAATGGCGGAAACCGTATGGAAAATAGGATAACCGCGACAGTTGCTGCGGTCACCTATTTGGGCGGGATAGAGGAATATCAACTGATGGTTTCCGCAGACATTCCCCTTAAAGCCGTCCACTACAATCCCAGCACAGAAACTAAAAAGCCCGGAGACACCGTGCAACTTACAATATCAGCAGAGGCAGTTATCCCACTCCCATGCGACTAACACCGAGCCAACAACAAGCCCTTGACATAGATAGACACATCTGCGTAACCGCCGGTGCCGGATCCGGAAAAACCACGATATTGGTCAATCGTTACCTCAAAATTTTGCGTGAAGGTAACGCCAACCCGCAAGAAATTGTCGCCATCACCTTCACAGAGAAAGCCGCCGCCGAGATGAAGGAGCGAATTATTGAAGAGCTGTCGCCTCAAGAAAAACGTGATGGTTCAGAACAGGACAATTCGCTACAAGGCTTTCGCGAAAAGATGAGCACGGCACACATCTCAACTATCCACGCATTCTGCTCACGTATCCTGCAAGAATTCCCCTTCCAAGCGGGTGTACCCGCCAACTTCAGCATCCTACAAGGCATCGATCAGAAACTCTCACTACAGCAAATCATTACGGGAACCCTCAAGGACATTGCCATAAACCCTAACCATCCACACCGCGCAGAACTCACTCGACTCCTACGACGCTATGGTGGACAGAAAAAACTGGTGGATTTCTTCGCCACTATGATAAATCAACGGGATGTCCTCGAACACCTAATACAGGAGATTTATAGTAATCCAAACGATACAGAGATACGCAAAGGCTTGCAACAGCAGGTCCACGACACATTGATGTCAGCAATGGATGCCCCCGAATTCATCCGATGTTTAAATGCTGTTTTGCAGGTTGCAACTGGTAAAAATGCAGCGGCAGTTAGAGACTTGACCCAACAGTTAGAAATACTATATGGGAAAAACCCAGATTCTCCTGAAGTACCGAAGTTACTTAGACAAATTGCTGATCCAATTACAATTAAAAACGGTAACATCGCGAAAGCCGCTTTCATCGGTACACGTGTTGACACAACGGATATTGACACCGAAATCAATGGGTTGGTATCCGCTGCGAAAAAAATTAAAGCACTACCACTCCTTGAAAACGAAAAAGATGATGATAAAACAGGCAATGTTGAAACCGATGATGATTTCCTGCTTAGCACAATCCGCGACTTACTCACACTATACACCCGAATCTCGGAGGCGTACAGAATTGCCAAACTCTCCCAAGGTAAACTCGACTTTGCTGACCTACAGCTGAAAACCCGGGATCTCCTTCGCGACAACGAAGAAATCCGACAGAAATTGGTATCCCAACACAAGTACTACATGGTAGACGAATATCAGGATACAAATAAACTACAGTACGAATTAGTGATGTTGCTGACAAATAAACTCAAAAGCGCAAATCTTTTCATCGTCGGCGATCCGAAACAGAGTATTTACAGATTCCGCGGCGCAGATGTCAGTATATTTGAAAAAACACGAAAAGAAATCGAAAAAAATGGTGGGCTTGATATTCCCCTTACAGAGAATTTCCGATCCTTGCGTGATACCGTCGGGTTCGTCAATTACTTTTTCAATCGCTTGATGGGTGACGGAAAAGAGACTGAATTTGAAGTGCAGTATGAGCCGCTTACGCAAGCTCGACCCGTCAAGGCAAACGGCGCAGTTGAAATTCTGCTTGACAAACAGGACGAGGAGGCAGCGAGTGAATACTCGCTTATCGCACAGCACATCATAAACATGAAAGCAAACAGAGAAACAGTGTGGGTACGTAGTACCAGTGAAGAGAACAGGGGCATGGAAGTGGAACGTCCGATCCAGTACGGTGACATTGCCATCCTCATCCGGAGTAGAAGGCATCTCCCCGATATTGAACATGCTCTACATGAAGCAGATATACCCTACCTCACCACTGGCGGTGTTGGTTTCTATCAACGGCAGGAAATCTACGACATCTGGAACTACCTCCACTTCCTCGAAGCACCCACAAAAAATCAAACATCTCTCGCCGCAGTTCTCCGCGGTCCCGCTTTCGGTATCTCCGACACTGAACTCTATGAAATTTCACCCCAGGATGAGGAAAATTTCTGGGATCATGCGCAGTGTTATCAAGATCGGTCTCATAACCTTAATCGCGCGATAACCACTTTAAAAAGGCACAGTCAGTTTGCACACCGAATGCCTGTAAACCAACTCATCCTAACCCTCGTTAATGAGACAGGAATGATTGGAACGTTGCGAACGGGGAAATACGGACAACAACGCTGGGCAAACTACCAAAAACTCCTGGAACTTGCCAGAAATTTTGACGGAGATGAAAACAAGCAAACCCTTCCGGACTTTATTGAATTTCTGGATACATTAATTACGGAGGAACCCCAAGAGGGAGAAGCACCCGTTGAGGCAGGTAGCGGCGCGGTCCAAATTATGACGATCCATGCCGCCAAAGGGAAGCAATTCCCAATCGTCATCCTCCCAAGGCTTGACCGGAAAGGGCAAACGGACATGGAACCTTTCATTGATGAGGCACTCGGTATCGGCTTCAGTCCCCTTAATCCCGATAACGACTACAAAAAAACTGAACCAGAGATTGTTACACACATGAAAAATCGGGCAGACGAGAAAGAGATTGCCGAAAATAAACGTTTGTTTTATGTCGGGACAACACGTGCTTGCGATCGGCTCATCTTATCAGGAACCCTCCCAGCAGCGAACATGCTTGGTTGGCTCCACAAACACCTCGACATTGATGAAGAGGACAGTTCACTGAACCTACCTGTCACGTTGGAAGTGTTCACAGGGAACGGCACAAGTTCTCAATATTTCCAACTCCAAATTCCGATTTATCAAGCACTTGCGGGGAATGACCCTGCGGACGAGGTTCCCGACGAAACAGCACCTGTTGATTTTCCTGAGTCTCTACGAAAACTGGAACCAACCGGTACTTCCGCTGCCTTTTCTGTCTCTGAACTCGCTAATTATGCCCGATGTCCGTTACGGTATCAATTGGAAAATGTGCTGCGAATTCCGGTAAACGGGCAAGAAGATGCCGACGCAAATGAAACTGAGATGGATGCCGCTCTTCGCTACACGCTCACACAAATAAGACGGCGATCAGATGTGGAAAATCTTGATGCTACGATTGATAAGGCACTTGAAAATTATCCTGAAGCAACGACTAAATCAACAGCGGCACTTCGTACACACGTTAACAATTTTATCAGCTCCGAACTCGGTGAAACGGCATTCTCTGCATCCACGATTCACACCAATCAGCACATTCACGCAGACATCAACGGACACATCGTTGATGGTAGGGTCGACAAACTCTTTAAAGATGAAACAGGAAACTGGCAGGTAATTAATTATAAAACCGATGAGACGCAGAATTCAGATACGTCTCATCCAGAAATGGAACTTTACAGTCTACTCGTGCATCGGCGTTATCCGAACCAATCGACTGTGACAATTAATCTTTTCTTTACTGAGCAGGGTCGGTGCGAACAGATGCACTTCAGCACAGCACAATTGCAGGAAGTTCAGAAACAGTGGCAGGAAAAAATCTTGGCACTGCAGCGCGGGGTTTATGAGAAGAACCTTGAACACTGCTGTTCCTGCCCCTATGCGGATCCAGATGGGCAGTGCCTAATGGAGGAATGAAAATGAAAAAATTAATACCAATAATCGCACTCATCTTAATTGCCTACATTTCACTCCAGGCATGGCAACCTACCTTTGCGGGTACGTGGCGCGACGATTTTGAAGACAAAGACATTCGTGAATGGAAAATTTTTAACATCGACCGACAAGTTGAGAAGTGGTGGGTTAATGATGGCGAAGCCGTCGGCGAAATCTTCCTACCCGGTTTCATGAGTCTCTGGACCACAGGTGAACTCACATGGAAGAACTACTCTTTCTCCTGTCGCGCAAAGTTAGTGAAAGACAAGAACGAACCCCCAAGCATCGGGCTGACACTCCACGACAGAGGTGAGGAGGATACCCGTTATCTCTTTTTTATAGACTATGTTTTCGGCACCGTCCGAATCGTCAAAGCACTTCGAGATAACTGGTTTCCCGTCATCTATCCATTTGACGCCGAAATCGATAAGTGGTACGAACTAACTGCCACCATCCACGAAGACGGCAGGCTTGAATTTCAAGTTGACGACGAGATATTTACCATTATTGACGATGACCCCTTAAAAGGCGGACAAGCCGGGCTTGTTGTCGCGGACGGGCAGGCACGATTTGATGATGTCGAAATCACAGGTCCGAATATCGACAATGGGGGTCCGGGGAAAGCACGTCCCGTCGAGCCGAAAACCAAACTCGCAACCACATGGGGACAATTGAAAAGCAGAGAGTAAAGGTTACACGAAAAATGGGAATGAAACAGACGGTTGGCATCGGCATCATCGGCATGGGATGGATGGGCATGACGCACGCCCGCGCATATCATCAGATCTGCGACCGGTTCCACGACAGTCCCCTCCAGCCCAGACTTATTATCTGTGCAGATGATGTCGTCGAACGCACAACCGAGGCAAAAACACGTTTTGGATTTGAACGCACAACCACCGACTACCGACACGTCATAGAAGACGCAAACGTACAGGTCGTCAATATCGCCGCACCGAATAGCATGCACCTTGAGATCGTCGAAGCAGCGACATCTGCGGGGAAACACGTCTTCTGTGAAAAACCTGTCGGACGGAACCCGGCTGAAACGAAGGCAATCTATGCCGCTGCACAGCGCGCGGGGGTACTCACCTGTGTCGGCTATAACTACAGATGGGCACCCGTCGTTCAATACGCGCGTCAACTGATTTCAGAAGGAAAACTCGGCACCTTAACCCACTATCGCGGTAGATTCTTTGCTGGCTACGCGAGTCATCCACGCGCAGTCCTTTCATGGCGATTTCAGAAGGAGATCGCTGGATTGGGAACATTGGGGGATTTGCTTTCTCACGTCATCGACATGGCGCACTTCATTGTCGGTGGCATCGACAGCGTCGTCTCACAACAAGAGACGTTCATTCCGGAACGTCCTGCGGCAACAGCAGGGACCGGCACACACTTCACCCTCGGTGCAGATGGCGAAATGGATGCCGTCACGAACGAAGATTACGTCGGAGCGTTAGTCCGATTCGGAAACGGTGCCAGAGGCACACTGGAAGCGTGTAGAATTATCACCGGACCGAAGTGTGAAATGGCGTTTGAGGTGCATGGTACAAACGGTGCCTTGCGCTGGAACTTTGAGCAAATGAACGAACTTGAGGTGTACCTACCTACTGAAGACGGTTACCCTGATGGATACACCCGCGTATTAAGCGGTCCGAGCCACCCGTTTCACAACTATTTTAATCCCGGTCCCGGTGTCGGATTAGGCTACGACGACCTGAAGACAATTGAGATCCACCAGTTTTTGCAAGCCATTCACACAGGAAAACAGGGAAATCCAAGTTTCCGAGAAGCCGCTGCGGTCGCCGATGTGCAAACTGCCATCCAAACCTCATGGGAGGAGGATCGGTGGATCTCAGTTTAAAAATGAAACACACACTACACCCGGCTCGTGAAGTTTCTAACCTCGACAATCACACACTACATCCGGCTCGTGAGGTTTCTAACCTCGACAATCACACACCGCGTCCCGCTGGCGAGGTTTCTAACCTCGCCTCTTATATGTTGATCTTCTGCTGCTCTCTGCTTTTCTCCCTTAACACCGTTGCCCAACCCTTGCCACAATTCACCGACATCACACACGAAGCAGGCATCGACTTCGTCCATAACACGGGTGCCTTCGGTAAGAAATACCTGCCTGAAACCATGGGCTCAGGATGTGCCTTCATCGACTATGACACAGACGGTTGGCAGGATATTCTACTCGTCAACGGAAAGGATTGGGAAGGAGAACCGACCCAGAAACGGCAAACGATGGCACTCTACCGCAACAACCGAGACGGCACCTTCACCGATGTCACCGAAACCGCGGACCTCGCTACACCGCTTTACGGTATCGGTGTCGCTGTCGCTGATTACGATAACGACGGTGATCCAGATATCTATATCAGCACCCTTGAAACCGATCGGCTCTTCCAAAACAACGGTGACGGTACATTTGTTGACGTTACAGAAGCCGCCGGTATTCACAACCCCGGTTTCGGCACAAGCTGCGCATGGTTCGATTACAACAAGGACGGGCACCTCGATCTCTACGTCGCGAACTATGTCGACTGGAGCAGAGAGAACGACCTGTTCTGTACGCTCGACGGCATTAATAAATCCTACTGCACCCCTGAATCCTACACAGGGCAGTCCAGCAAACTTTTCAGAAATCGGGGCGACGGCACATTTGCCGATGTCTCCCGTATCGCACGGATTGAGGACAATACGAGCAAATCACTCGGTGTTTGCATCTTCGATTACAACGCCGATGGCTTACCGGACATCTTTGAGGCGAACGACACACAACCCAATAAACTCTATCAAAACAACGGTGATGGCACCTTCATCGAAAGCGGAATGCTCGCGGGAATCGCCTATAACGAAAGCGGTGTCGCAACCGGCGCAATGGGAATCGATGCCGCAGACTACGATCGCATCGGCAAGGAGAGCCTCGTCATCGGCAACTTCTCCAACGAGATGCTCAACCTCTATCACAACGAAGGCGACTTTTTCATCGACGATGCCCCTGTCGCACACATCGGAAACGCCACCCTATTGACGCTCACCTTCGCCTGTTTCTTCTTCGACTTCGATCTCGACGGCAACCTTGACATTTTCACAGCCAACGGACACGTCGAAAACGACATCAACGCCATCCAGACCCAAGTCACTTACGCTCAACCCCCACACCTGTTTCACAACGATTCCCAAGGCAAATTCACCGATGTGCTTCATAAAGTCGGCGCAGATTTGGCAAAGCCGATGGTTGGGAGAGGTGGAGCCTATGGCGATATCGACAACGACGGCGATTGGGATCTGCTCGTTACCACTTCTAACGGACCCGCGCACCTTTTCCGAAACGAGGATGGAAACCGCAACGCGTGGATTAAGATTCAACTCGTCGGACGAACAAGCAACCGCGACGGCATCGGTGCCCAGATCCGTATAACCTCCGCGTTGGGAACACAGACACGAACGGTCAAGAGCGGTTCGAGTTACTGCTCACAGAGCGAACTCACCGCCATTTTCGGCATAAACGACGATCCTATTATCCAGACAATCGAAGTAAAGTGGCCCAGCGGTGCTGTCAGCACACGCAAGCATGTTAAACCCAACCAACAGATTCGCATTGAGGAATTTTAATTTTACCTTGCGGATGAATAACGCGGGTTAAGTCTTTGATATGCCATTCTTTCGAGTCGCCCACGCCGTTGTTGTGGGCTTGTGTTTCGATTGAAAGAAGCACCAACAAAATAACCGAAGTACGCGTGGACGGAAGCATCATGAAACTCTTATGTTACGCACTGAGCGCATTCCTTATCTTTGCTCCCCTCTCCGCTGTTCTTGCAAAAGCCCCGGAAACTGCCAAAATCGTATTTACATCAAGTCGTGAGGGCAATTCTGAAATTTACATCATGAACCCGGATGGATCTGATCAAATAAACTTAACACAGCACCGTGCCATGGATTCCGCGCCTGTTTGGTCGCCGACAGGTGAACAGATCCTTTTCACCTCGGATCGAGGCGGGATAGAGGATCTCTACCTTATGGATGCAGATGGAACGAATGTACGTCAGGTATTCAAAAAATTAATAGGTAGAGAATTCCCAACTTGGTCACCTGATGGAAAGGCACTTACTTATCACCGATTTCACACTCTCTCTATCTACACCGCCTCAATTGACGGAAAAGATGAGGAAGAACTTACGGACGGCTTATGGCCCGCGTGGTCTACCAACGGTTCTGAGATAGCCTTTATGGCAGGCGATTTTGTTTGGGCTGACAACGGAAATCTCGAACTTGCGAACATCAGGGTTCAGATTACCAATTTACAAACCCATGTAGAAGAGAAGCTTCTTCCGGGGAAGGTATCAATGTTTGACCCTGCCTGGGCACCCGATAGTGCTCAGATAGCCTTTTCTTGGAGCGGTAGACTAATCTATGTTGTGAACCGAGATGGTAGCGGACTCAGGGAGATTATTGATGCTGGAGCACTCGCGTTAGTGTTTAAGCCTACCTGGTCGCCGCACGGGAACGAACTCATCTACCAAAAGCGGGATCGTGAAGGCAGGCAACTCTTCAAAATCGCTTTGGACGGCGGGGTCCCAGAACAACTCACACACCGGGGTAGTAACTCCCGCGCGGATTGGTTCGATCCGGCGTTTGCTTTGCCGGTCTCGCCCCAGCCGTCCCTTTTGACGACCACATGGGGAAAACTCAAAACGCAGGACTAATGTCCTAAGAAATAGTTTCCTTTTCCTATGTGTAACTTTGTATCTAAATTACGAAGGACCTTAGATGTATAGGAAACCCGAAAATCCGAGAAATCTGTGTAATCCGTGTCAATCCGCGATTCAGACAATTAACACCCTCCGACTCCAGACCAAAACGCGTCAATTTAAGAAAAAGGACAGTTTCCTTGATCTGCAGGTCCGGTAGGAGCGGTTTCCCAACCGCTCCGGCTTGTCAAAAAAAGGCGTGAAACCCAATAAATTCTTAAAACTGAATGGCTCTGAGTACCATTCTTTGACAATTCAACTCTTTTGTGGTATACTTTAATTCGTTTTTGAGTAAGACACGTTAAGTATATCTTTACCACTACTGCAATTTGTTCGTCCACGAATTCCTGGAGTTCTATATCGCGCAATTTGAAAACATCTCAATTAATGACTTTACGACGAATCGGTGAACCAGTTCGCGGGGATACAAATCATGCCTAAATCTGTCAAAGCACTCATTACTCCTGAAATTCTCAAATGGGCGCGTGAAAAACGCATCAAGTTAGAGGTCAACTACGCGGCCAAAAAATTAAAGGTAGATATGGAACACCTTGAGGCATGGGAAAACGGTACAGAGCAACCGACTTTTGCGCAGCTAAAAAAGATTGCCAAACTCTATAGAACCCATATCTCTATTTTCTATCTACCGGAACCGCCCATTGATTTCCAAACACTTACAGATTATCGGGTACTGCCTGAACAAATTGCGATTGATGAGGAACAGGTCTATAGATTAAATGCCAATATCGTCGAAGCTTATGAAAGGCGCGAGATGCTCATTGAACTATATGAATTGTTAGAGCAACCGACGCCTGAAATTACGTTGAACGTCGAAGGGGGCACAGATCAGAAGCGAGCAGCAGAAAAAATAACGGAATTTCTTGCATTCAACAGGGCACAGCTACAGCAAGCAAATGACCCATACGCAGCGTTGAAGTTTTGGAAACAGACTGTTGAAGCGAAAGGTGTTTTGGTCTGTCAAACCTCCGTGAACACACACCTTTCTGTTGAACTGGAAACAGTACGTGGATTTTGCATTGCTCAGAAACCTTTTCCGGTGATTGTAGTAAACCCTAAAGACAGTCCTTACGGCCGCATTTTCACGCTCATCCACGAGTTGGTCCACATTGCTCTCGGAGAAAGTGTCATCCAGAACACGGACTTTGAAGAAGAAAACACCCCTAATCTGGATCCAATTGAAGTCTTTTGCAATCAGGTGGCAGCCGATGTCTTAGTCCCGGAAAATGAATTGTTAGAAACGGTAAATTTGGAGATACTTGAAGAAGATCTACCCAGAATCTCCAAGTTCTTCCATGTCAGTCCTGAAGTTATCATGCGGCGGTTGCTAACACTCAGAAAAATCTCGCGGCGTAACTATTACATGTACAGAAACCGCCAATTGGCAATGTATAGGAACGCTCCAGCACGAACAGGTGGAGCTGTGCCTTACCATAATCGGCTTCTTAATACCTCTGGTGAATATTTCGCGCGAACTGCTTTCACGGCTTATTATGAGCAGAAAATCACACGAGCTGAGCTAGCCTCCGTTTTTTCTAATTGTGAAACAAAACATCTTTCTGAAATTGAGAGCGACATCTCCACATGAATTCACTGTTTAACCAGCATCAGGTAGTTTATATTATGGACGCAAGCTCACTAATTGAAGCGTATCATAGTTACCCAATGGAAAATTTTTCATCTTTGTGGAACAAATTTGAAGATCTCATAAAAAGCGGTCGGCTAAAAATGCCTGAACTTGTGTTTGATGAAGTGAAAGATGAGGGAATTAAGAAATGGTATAAAGAAAAAATTGAAACCCTATATCCGCTTAACAATAGGTTACATTGACCAATATAAAGTTCGAGACATATTATCGAAATACCCAATGCTGATAAATTCTAAAACAGGGAAGTCAGGTGGAGATCCATGGATAATCGCCTCAGCGCAGAATTTTCAAACCTCTGTCGTTGTAACTCAGGAGAACCTTAGTGGAGAAGAGGATAGGCCCAAAATCCCCAATGTCTGTAAGGATTTAGGAATTGAATGCATCAAAATAGTGGACTTAATAAAAAGAGAAAATTGGATCTTTAGATAGCCACAAAACAATATCGTGTTTGACCTAAAACCGAAAACCTGCTATACTCCTGAAAAAATTACGGAGACGGAGTCCCAAGCACGTGAATCCGCCCAAACGTCCTAACCAAGATGCACTCTACCAAGCACTCAACATTTACTGCGATGCCATGCGCCCTTTCATCCTCAGAAACCTGAAAACGGTGCAAGGCTTAGCCCCAGAAGATCGCTTTCAAAACGAAGCAGATATAGACTTTGGTGATTTCCCACACCTTTTCAGAAAGTACTGGCACAATGTTTTTGAACGACGTTTCGACCCCGATCGGGATATTCGCAGTGCTGTGGGCATAATAACCGAAGCGCGAAATAACACTTTTCACACCGAAACAGAAGACCTCTCTCCGGGCTACGCCTTGGCTCGGCTTCACGAAATCGCCGACATGCTTGGACAAATCAATGCGCCTGAGCAGAAACGAGAAGTTGAAGCCCTTCGTGATAAGGTGCTAACCAGTGCAACGTTAGTTGCAGAGGCGAAACCGAAACTACCACGTAGAAAGGCAGCTGACCTCAAGTCATGGCGTGATGTTATACGTCCTAACACTGATGTCATTGAAGGCTCCTTCCGAAAATCGGAATTCGCCGCCGACCTTCAAGAAGTTTTTGAAGGAAAAGCGAAAACGCCAGAATACGGCGAAACCGAAATCTTTTTCAACCAAACATACATTACCCCTGGGCTTCATCAATTATTAGTCAATACCTTAAAACGACTCGGTGGCAAAAGTGGGGATCCGGTTATCCAACTCAAAACGGGTTTCGGAGGTGGAAAAACGCATAGCCTTATTGCCCTCTATCATCTCGTTACTGGGGCAAATATGCTAAGAGAACTTCCGCCGGAAGGTAAATATGCACGGCTGCGTAAGGAAATCGACGACATTATAGAGGAGGCAGAATGGGATTCTGGTACGCCAATCAATGCCAACGTCTCTGTGCTGGTTGGCACCTACCTCTCCACTACCGACTCAGATGAAACTAAACAGGGAGACCCACTAAACACACTCTGGGGTAGGATGGCTGATCAACTCGGCGGACAAGATGCCTACAACATCATACAAAAAGCCGCACTCGAAGGTATTGCCCCCGGCGGAAAGCAGTTGGATGCACTCTTTGAGCTCGTTGGTCCCTCTGTCATCTTAATAGATGAACTCGTTGCTTACGCTCGTAATGTACAAGATGTCACACAGGAAAGTATCTATACCTTCTTTCAGACGCTCACAGAGTCCGTAAATAGATCTAAGAATGTTACGCTCGTCGCAACTTTACCAGAAGGACAGGTACAAGCAGGTGGAGAAGGCGGGATGACTGTCCTTGATACGCTTGAATCTATCCTTGAACGGATTGATGCTGTCTCAATTCCCTTAGAAGTTGACAATGCATTTGAAGTGGTGCGCAGGCGGTTGTTCGGTAGCATAATTGACGAGACAGAACGAGACCTAACCTGTGAAGCGTTCAGAAAAATGTACCAGAACTCACGCAGCGAATACCCCGACGGTGTTAACGATCAACGCTACTTGCAGCGGATGAAAGACTGCTACCCGATACACCCGGAGGTATTTGACCGGCTTTCCCAAGACTGGGCAGTGATTCCCGGATTTCAGCGGACCCGTGGTGTACTGCGGATGATGGCGACTTGCATCTCCCGCCTCTATCAAGAGCAAGATCCCTCCCTTTTAATAATGCCAGCGAATCTCACATTGGACGACCCCGCGCTTGCTGATGAATTTACAAGACTGCTTGCAAGGTCCGGCGGGAATTGGGATCCCGTCGTCCAAGAGATAGACAGCCACGGCTCCCGCACTGAACAGATCGATAGGAGCTCTCAAAACTTCATTGAGGTAGGCAATGCGGCACGCCAAACCGCACGGACCATCTTCCTAGGAAGTGCCACGGGGGGCGCGGTCAAAGGCATTACAACCCGTCAGATCCACCTCGGAGTTGTCGAACCCGGACAAGGTATTTCCGTCTATAACGATGCACTCAGTAGGATGACCGGCAACCTCTATTTCCTCTATAATCTTGACGATAGATATTACTTCCACACCCAGGAGAACCTCAATAAGGTCGCTATAGATCGCGCTGCGGAATACACCGAGGAAGATATCCACGCTGAGATTGTCTCACGGTTGGAAAGAGCCATCGGACGCGATCCGAGCGTGCAAATTTGTCCCACATCATCAAGTCTTGTAAAGGATTCTGAGACGATCCAGTACATCATTCTTCCGCCGCAGGCATCCCTGCCAAGCCGCGAAAAAGAGACGGATACCGCAAGCGACACGGCACGCAAAATTCTCACATACAGTGCAGACGATGAGAGACAACGCACCTTTAGAAACGCTCTCCTCTTCATCGCAGCGCGACGAGACGATATCCGAGACCTCAAAAACCTTGTCAAAAACTACCTCGCATGGAATTCTGTCATGAATGGCGATGTCCTACATGGGGCACTCACCAATCTTGAGGGCGCGAGATTAGATCAGACGACGGAAAACCTTGAATCCGCTGAGGATGCAGTAACAACGGCACTCTTCAAAGCATACCGATGGGCACTCGCTCCTTCACAATCGGATCCTCAAAACAGTGCCTACGACTTCTCTATCACCGACACAAAAATTGATGATCGCAGAATCATAAGTCGTCTCCGTGAAAAATTCATTGAGGACGACGCAATTGTCACAAAAATAGCACCTGAAATCTTCGCGGCACAATTGCAGCAATACGTCTGGAGTAGTGATGCCTACCAAGAGCACATTGGTTTAGATACGCTCTGGGAACTCATGGCACAAAACGTCTACATGCCACGGCTGCGCGACCGAAACATTTTGGCAACGTGCATCAGAGACGGTGTGCAGGCAGGCACTTTCGGATACGCCAGTGCTTATGAGGATGACAACTACCGCAACTTCCGTTTCGAGGAACAGGTCGGCGGGCTCCGAGTGGTTGAAGGTAGCGCAGCCGTCCTCATAAACCCTGAGATGGCAAAACTGCTCAAGGAGGAAAAAGAAAGACAGAAGAAATCGGACGCTCCCGAATCAGCACCAGACACAGAAAAACAAACGGGAGACGACCCAACCGGCGTTGTGATCGAACCGCCACAAGCAAAAGGACCTACGCACGTCGTTGTTACCAAAGCTTTGCAGTTAGAACTTCCATTTGGCAATGAGATTGACATCCTCCAGGACGAGATTGCCCGAACCCTACAAGCGGATGGCGGAAATGTGAAAATTGAAATCACCGTTACTGCTAATAAATCAGACGGATTCTCGGAAAATACCACCCGTGCCGTTAAGCAAAATAGCGAACACCTCAACGCAGAATTCAAGAGCGACTAAAAGTCTGTAGTTTTTGTAGCATAGACTGTCAGTCTGTGCATCCTCTGTGCATCCTCTTTGTAGCATAGACTGTCAGTCTGTGTCTCCTCTTTGTAGCATAGACTGTTAGTCTGTGCCATTTCAAATCTGTTTGACATCTCTTCACTTTTTGGGGTACACTATATCCATGGCACAAGACTACGACAATATGGGGAAAAGTTTATGGAGAGACCACGCCGACGACCTCTCGAGATTTGTACTTGGCGCGGAAAATGTCGAAGTGCTTGAAGACCTTGACACCGAGCAACAGACCCCTATCGCTCGACAGACCGACATCACAAAACGGATCCGCGTTAGCGGTTACGAAGCTATTCTTCATGTTGAATTGCAGCTTCGCGATAGCACACGCCAACCGATGTGGGCACGAAACGCGCAATATCAAGGATACCTCGTCGGTGAACATCAGATACCTGTTTATTCTAACGTCATCTATTTTCATCCAAGAGCCGGAAGGAATGATCCGGGGGGTTACACCTACAACTGGAACGGCTATGAACACACCAATCGCTATAAAGTGATACGGCTCATTGAAATAGAGGGACAAGCCGTGTTGGAGAGGCAGGCACCCGGACTCCTGCCCCTCACGCCCCTGATGAAACCACCCACAGGGATGGACTTTGAACGTTGGGTGCAGACATGCGTTGACGCAACGCGCACCACCCCCGTAGATCAAGAAACTCAGGCAGATCTGCTTTACGGAATCTACCTTTTCGGCAGTGTAGTAACTGATGCTGTGTTGTTTGAACGACTTATACCGGAGGAACTTATGCAAGAATCTAAAACTTACCAACGCCAACGCGAGAGAATTATCAGAGAGAATACCATCGAAAACACTCTAGCATTACTTGCTGATCAATTCCAACCGGAAACAGTAAGTGCCTTAACACCCGCGATTCGTAACGTAAACGATTTACAAAAACTCAAGCAGTTGCTTCTCGCCGCTGCGAAGGTGCGAAACATTGAGGATTTTACACAGATGCTATACAAATAAAAGCACGGAATAGGAACTTATGCAAGAATCTAAAACTTACCAACGCCAACGCGAAAGGATTCTCACAGAAAACACCATTAACCACATTTCGGTAGTGCTCAAGGCGAAATTTCCAGCAGATATTGTGAACGCCTTAACGCCCATCATTCAAAACATCAACGATCTGCAACGACTTGAAGAATTGTATACCGCTGCTGTGAAAGCACAAAATATTGAGGCCTTTACTCAAATGTTGAGCGAATACCAACACACTGTAGGGGCAGAGGCAGTTCCGCCCCTACCGAAAGAAGGAGGAACCGTGATGGAGTTAACCGTTAAACTAACAACCGAACAAATTATTGATTTTATCCAACAACTGCCAGGGGAAGAGAAGTTAACTGTGGTCCGCGCCCTTGCAAAAGAATCTCTGCCTCGCCGCGCGGAACGGATGAAGTATCTTGAATCAAAGGTTCGAGAGGTATGCACCGAACGCGGGTTGGATTGGGATGCGATGACAGATGAAGAACGCCAAGACTTCATCAATGATGTTGTCCATGAGGACCGTGAATGCGGCCGATAGTTGTTTACGATACAAATGTTCTCATATCGGGTATGATTTGGGGCGGAATTCCCTACGATTGCATCGCACTTGCTCAACAAAATAAAGTTGAAGGGGTAACCTGCTCTGAAATACTGGACGAATTCTCGGAGAAGTTAACGAATAAGTTTAACGCTTCTCCCTCAAGAACCGCGGAAATAGTAGCTGAACTCCTCAATTTTCACCAAGTCGTCAAAATTACCAACCGCCTTAAGAATGTTACCGCTGATCCGGATGACGACAAGATAATAGAATGTGCTGTTGTAGGGGGTGCCACCCATATTATTACTGGGGACAAAAAGCATCTCCTACCCCTTCGGAGTTATCAAGGTATTTTTATCGTAAAAGCCGCGGATCTGCTTGCACAATTCCAATGAAAATCAATTAAAAAACCTATGTCCACTTACCGAAAAAAACTCATTGAGGTCAATATCCCCTCCAAGCCATTAACACAGAGTCTGCAAAAGACGCTTCACTGACACATGGACACCCTTCAACATTACACCGCTACTGGGCACGCCGCCCCCTCGCCGCATGCCGTGCCGTTATTTTCGCCAGCATGGTGGACGACCCCTCCGAATGCAGTGATGAATTCCCAACTGAACCCGAACAGAACGCCGAACGCACCCGACTCCACAACATCATTAAGAGGCTTGTGGTCTGGCAAAATAGCAACGACGAAAACCTCTTGGCGGAGGCACGTTATGAAATCGCATACTCTGCTGCCCGTAACAACGACGAAAACCTAACCCTTTTTGGTAAAAAATTTAAAAACGACCCAGATGCAGTGCTAAAATACCTCAGTGACCACTGTCCGCCCGTCTACGACCCCCTTTTGCGGTGGCGGTTCCATCCCGCTGGAGGCACAACGCTTAGGACTACGCGCCCGTGCTTCCGATCTGAACCCACTCCCTGTCCTGCTCAACAAAGCGATGATTGAACTGCCACCAAAATTCCACAATCAGAACCCAGTGAATCCAGATGCAGATCCCTTGGGAATGTTCACAGGAACGGGTAGAAGAAGGACTCGCGTCCCGTGGAAAGGCACCGCGGGTTTGGCAGACGATATCCGCTATTACGGTGCCTGGATGCGAGAGGAAGCATACAAGCAGATTGGCCACCTCTATCCAAAAGCAGAGCTGCCGGATGGCACTCCCGCCACCGTCGTAGCATGGCTCTGGGCACGCACGGTGCCCTGCATCAATCCTGCCTGTGGACTCCAGATGCCTTTGGTGAAGACTTTTCAACTGTCAAAGAAGAAAGGCAACGAGTATTGGGTTAAACCCGTTGCTGATCGAGAATTCAACACAATTTCATGGGTTGTGCAAACCAACGATGAAGGAGTGCCGAATCCTACAGTAAACCGCACAGGTGCCTACTGCTTTGCTTGTGGAACTGCTGTTGATTTGCCTTACTTGCGTGAGCAAGGAAGATCAGGTAAAATCAGAGAAGTAATGGCAGCGACTGTGGCAGAAGGTGATCGAAAAAGACTATTTTTGTCACCTTCTAACGAACATATTCAAATATCAATGTCTGCTCAGCCTGTTTTGAAGCCTAAAGGCAAATTGCCACAGAAAGCATTGGGTTTTGCTGTGCAAAATTATGGATTTACGGAGTGGCATCAACTTTTCACGGAAAGACAACTCATAGCACTATCCACTTTCAGTGACCTCCTACCTAAAGTTCGCGAATGCATTATACGTGATGGTGACGACAGTAGATACGCCAATGCGGTGTGCACTTATCTATCTCTTACCATTGGTAAAACTACTGAGAGTGGATGCAGTTTTGCATGGTGGCAAGATCCAAGGGTTCGGACTGTTTTTCCATCTCAAGCAATTCGGATGACCTGGGCTTTTGCCGAGGCGAATCCGTTTTCCTCCTCAACACAGAATTGGATGAGTCAGGTGCAGTTCGTTGCCGAGGCAATTGAGAATTTGCCAGTCTTCGCTAATGATAGCGAAGTTTCTCAAGCAGATGCAGCTACTACGAAGCACGCTACCGGTGGACCAATTATCGTTACCGATCCTCCCTATTACAAAAATGTCGGTTACGCAGACCTCTCTGACTTCTTTTATATCTGGCTGAGACCCTTACTACGTGATATCTATCCGGAACTGTTTGGAGGCATGATGACTCCGAAGGATGAAGAAATAACAGCTAGTCCTCGGTTTGAAGATGCGACGCGACATTTTGAAGAATCGCTGAGTAAAGCACTACTGTATCTACGGCAACACTCCTCCGAGGATTTACCCTCCTCTATTTTCTATGCCTACAAAGAGCAAAAAAAGCAACACGGCGGCATAACCTCCACGGGCTGGGAAACAATGCTCACTGCTGTAGTGAACGCCGGTTTTCAGATAGTTGCTACTTGGCCCATGCATACGGAACAAGCGAAAGGACAGAAGACCGGTAAAAACACCCTCACATCTTCTATTGTCCTTGTCTGTCGGCCGCGGTCTAAGGATGCTCCGCCTATAACCCGCACTGAATTCCTACAGGAACTGAAAAAGGAGATGCCTCCCGCTCTTGAGCGGCTCACGCGCATCGCAGACATCAGGCCTGTCGATCTCGCACAAGCCGCCATCGGACCCGGCATGGAAATATACTCCCGCTATAGCAAGGTGATGCGGGTCAGTGGTGAGATTGTCCCAATACGTGAGGTCCTCATGCATATTAACAACGAAATCTCCGCATACCACGAAAAAGAGACAGGCGAATTGGATCCGGAGAGTCAATTCTGTTTGACATGGCTCCAGCAGCACGGCTACATGGAGGGTAATTTCGGAGATGCAGAAGGACTTTCAAAAGCAAAGGATGTAGACATCGCAACTATGCACGACAAAATTCTCATAGCGGCGCGTGGCAAGATGCGGTTGCTAAAACGTGAAGAATACGCAGATCGTGAAAACAATGGAAATATGACAGCATGGGAGGGGTGTCTACGGATGGTATGGCATCTATCGGGTGGTGAAAGAAGCGGCGGCATCGCTGGATGTACCGCAGTTGCCCGTTCCATGAATGACTATGAATCCGCAAAACGTCTGGCACGCGTCCTGTATACCTACTATGAATCCCGCGGCGATGCCGAAAACGCGTCCCACTACAACAACCTCGTAACCCAGTGGCAATATATCTCACAATCAATGCGTGCACCGGAGCAGATAACCGCTGATATTTAGAAGTAAGCAAATTACCATCTTTGTAGCACAAACTTTTAGTTTGTGCATTCCCAGTGGACGATACATCTTTGTAGCATAACCTGTTAGGTTGTGCATATTAGGGCGCAGACTCTCACTGCGAAGCAAGTCTACGTTACAACACTTCAACAAGCCAATAATCCTGAAAATCCTAAAATCCTGATTCAGACAACGGATAATATCCTATGTCCGACAGTGTTACCCTCTACGTCCTACAATATCAACTCAAGCGCAACCTCCATCCCTTCACACGCGAGGAGATCCTACAATTGCCGACTGGACGAAGCGGTGTATATGTCCTGTGGCGGAAAACCGGCACCGAGGGACGAAACGAGTGTCTCTACGTTGGCGAATCCACAACCTGTGTGCGAAGACGGTTGCTGCAGCACCATTCAAACGCACAGAATGACGGACTCCATTCACAACTTCGGATGTTCAGGTCAATCGTCCAATTCTCAGTAGAATTCACAGAGGACGCGGAAGAGACAGTGTCATTAGAATCCGAACTCATCCGCGAGTGGAAACCGAAGACCAACCTGAAAATGAACCTCGACAAACCCTAATACGGTACTCTAACCCCAACGCAAAAACAGGGTGTGTAACGTTTTTGGCATTCACGGTTCCCTTTTCTAAAAACACTGATACAAACCGTTAATTTAATTTTCACATTCGTTTTTTCACGGAGAGACGACATATTGCATCTTGGCGACCCACGGCCCGCCTACGTCCGTAAAAACCTCCGTGAAGCCTCCGTGAAAGTCAGGGATCCTTCGGAACATTTATACGAAGATATACAATTATCCGTCCAGCACCGAGAACGTTTTATGACGGATATAGACCGGTGTGAAATTTTCATAGCAACTTTCATAGCAACTTCATAGCACCCTTTGACGAAAACCCTCGAAAACCCAATATCCATCAGGGTTTATCGTCTTTCACGACACCTATTGATTTTCGGATTTGCTATGAAAACTGTGAAAGTATCGTCAGATTTGCGAAACTGCCCAAACGATTCACCTTCGCGGAAAATAAAAATAGATCCGAGGAGTCGTATCATCGCTGGCGAGGTTTCATGAAGCAAAAAAATAATCCGGTAATCTTTCAAACGCCAATTGCCCATCAGAAAGCGTCTGTAATCCTGAAAATCCCAAAATCCTGTAAATCCTGATTCAGACAACCGATAACCGATTCCTGAATACCTCCGTCCATCTGACAAAAAACTTGACAGTAGAATCGAAATAGGTTAACATTACCACATCACTGTCAGAGCGAGTACGAGACTTTCTAAAGGTACAATTAAAAGAACGTAGCCCGTAACGTAGTGGAGGGCGGATTTAAGGGACGCATCCGATAGTTCTTACGCACGCCATTTAACCGCAAGGAAAAATTAAAATATGAAAACCTATCGCGTTGCCATATTAGGATGCCGAAGTCGCGGCACCTCGGCAGCAAAAGCGTATTACGCACATCCGCGCACTGAAATCGTAGCACTCTGCGACCTCGTACAAGAACGGTTAGATGCCCTCGGTAACATCGTGAACGTCTCAGCACATTTCACCGATTTAGACGAGATGATTCGGCAGACGGCTCCCGATATTGTCGCAATCCCCACAGCAACAGAGGCACACTATCCTCTCTGCATGCGTGTCCTTGAACACGGTGTGAACATTGAGGTAGAGAAACCGCTCTGTACTGACCTCATTCAAGCGGATGCCGTACTGGCGAAGGCGAAAGAGAAAAACGCCCGCGTTGCCGTACATCATCAACGACGCACGAGTCCTTCGATGCAGGCAGTCGCCAAAGTCCTAAACGAAGGAAAAATCGGTGACCTCCGTTACATCTACGCCAGCGGAAAAGGCTACTACGCCGGTTATGGGTTAATGAACATCGGAACGCATGTCATTAACAATATGCTCCGTTTCGGCGGGAAGTGTCGAAGTGTTGTAGCACAAGCGACGACAGGCGGACGTGCCATCGGACATGACGATGTCCTTCCTTCACCAGCCGGCATGGGGATAGTCGCAGGCGAATACGCTACAGCGACGCTCCAATTCGACGGAAACGTCACCGGCACTCTCATTCAGCACCGATTCCCGAAGGTGGATACCGATGCGTACGTCATGGAACTCTACGGCACTGAAGGCAGACTCTTCTGGTCGGAACTGAAAGGTTCGTGGTGGCTACCTACACCACACTTTGTCCCTGACGGCACACACGACCAGTGGCAGGCACTCGCGTCTATCTATCCAGATCATTTTGACCCAGACAAAGGCGCAAATGCCGACGACTACTGCTTCGTTGAAGAATATGTGAACGCTCTGGACGAAGACCGAGAACACGAATCTAACGGCGAAGAGGGTCGCCATGTCATGGAAATTCTAATGGCGATTTTCGAGTCTGCCGTTTACGGCACACGCGTCGAGTTACCCCAGAAGAACCGAGAGCATCCACTACCGCGGTGGCGCGCTGAAGCCGGTTTGGTGGTGAAGTAAGGGATATGCCTCGCGATTACGGCACCTGGCTATCATTAGAAGACGAACGCCTATACAAATAGCGGTCAGCCATCAGCAGTCAGCAGTCGGCAAAGCGGTTTTCGGTGAACCGAAGGCCTCTTTCTGAAGGCTGAAAGCCGACAGCCGACAGCCACTTGAAGGACAAAACTATGCCGAATCCTACGACGAATGCTGACAATCTACCACAGATCCCACTTACGGAAGAGCAACGCTACCTTTTTGACACCCGCGGATGGCTTCTGTTCCCAGGCGTACTCAGCGAAACCGAGGTTAAAGAGATGCGCGAGTTCTGCTATCAACTCAAACAGGAACCGGAGTCAATCCCTGAACACCACCGCTCTCCCATCGGCGGTCCCCTTGAAAGCTTAACCGACCATCCAATTGTGTTCGGATTCATGGACGAATTTCTCACTTCAGGCTACGCCAACGAAAATTGCTACGGATTCCGGTTGGAAGGCACGTTTCTAACCATTCGTCCGAACGGACACGACAACTTCAGTCCGCACGGCGGGCGTGGAATGCTCAACTTTCCCGGCAACTCACATACGTATCATCTGCACCACGATAAAGCACACAGCGGGTTGACGCGCGTCGTCTGGGAACTCAACCCTGTCCAGGAAGGTGGCGGTGGAACGATGTTCCTCACGGGTAGTCATAAGGGAGCGTTCCCAACACCGAAGTCGACAGCGAACCGTGATTCGCCACTATGGGAGGATTATACCTGTCCCGCCGGCTCCATGCTTATTTTTACAGAAGCCATCACGCATACAGGTGCGAAGTGGACAGACGAAGAGATCGATCGAGTTGCGATTTTCCACTGCTATAACACCGTTGGAAACAAGTGGCATAAGTGGGAACCGCACCCGAAGCACGTTGAAGAGATGCCGTTCAAACGTCAGACGCTCTTCCGACCTGTTCACTGTCAGGACAACACGCCAACACTGGATACCGTATAGAGTTTTTATCTACAACCTGGTATGGGGGACATCCATATAGCAGATAAAAAGCGTACCGATCCCCAAACCCAGTCGAGAATTAACCGAAAACCTGCCTGAAATGAAATTATGCCTTAAATGGCATAATTTGTCTTTGCTTTACATTTGGCAGGCAGCCCAGGAGCCCATAAATTAAAAAATGAAGATTACGAATGTGAAGTCTTTTGTTTCAGCAGATGGACATTTCTTCGTGAAAGTCGAAACCGATGCAGGTATCTACGGTGTCGGTGAGGGTGGACTCCGCCGTCGCGCACTCGCCTTAGCCGAAGTCGTTCGCTCGTTTGAACCCTTCCTCATCGGCGCAGACCCGTTCCGAATTGAACACCTATGGCAGGTGATGTTCCGAGGCGGCTTTTTCCCTGGAGGTGTCGTCCAATCCGCGGCAGTGAGTGCCGTAGACATCGCACTCTGGGACATCAAAGGCAAAGCCTTGAACGTTCCCGTCTACGAACTTTTAGGCGGACGCACGAGAGATAAAGTCGTCTGTTATCCACATAACGGCGGCGGCTCAATTGATGCAATCATCGAGAGCTGTCGGCAAACCTACGAAGCCGGTTGGAAGTTTGTCCGATGGAGTGTGGTTGATCATTCTGACAGTGGGGGGACGTTTGAACCCAGACGCGCCATCCAAAATACCCTTAAGCAGGTGGAAGCCGTTCGTCAGGCATTAGGCGATGATCTCGAAATACTGATTGATGTGCATACCCGTCTCGATCCAGCAGACAGCCTTGATTTCTGTAACAAGGTCGCACAGTACAATCCGTTCTTCATTGAGGATCCGCTTCGAGCCGAGAACCCCGCGAGTCTGAGACGGCTTCGGCAGCAGACCTCGGTGCCACTTGCCGTCGGTGAGCAATTTGATAGTAAATGGGCGTTCCGAGAAGTTATCGAAGAAGACCTCATGGATTACTGCCGCGTCGATGTCTGCATCGCCGGTGGGTTAACGGAGGCACGTAAAATCGCTGGATGGTGCGAAACGCACTATATCCATATAGCACCACATAACCCGTTGGGACCGGTATCCGCTGCAGCGTGTCTGCATCTCTGTTTGTCATCGTCACTCGTCGGTGTGCAGGAACTCCCACGTGCCCCGATGTCTTCCTTAACCGATGTTTTTCCGGTACAGGTGCCGTTTGAATCAGGCTATCTCCTACCGCCTGAAGCACCCGGACTCGGTATCGAATTCAACGAGGACGCACTCACGAATGTCTCAACGCAAACGTATGGACCGCCTCACGGCTACCAACGCGATGACGGTGCCTACACGAATTGGTAATCCTAAGGTAGCATAATGGCTATCAGAAACCATCGGCTTTCAGCAAAAGATCTCTGCTCATTAAAAACTTCTTTACTGACGGCTATCTTACTGACGGCTGACCGCTGACCGCTGATAGCTATCTTGCTGACAGCTGACGACTAATAAAAGGAGAAATTGAATGACAACCGCTGAAATTAAAGAGATGGCGACGGAATATATCATTAATACTTACGGTGACAGAAGCCTCGCGTTCGTCAAGGGTGAAGGTCCTTACCTCTGGGATGCCGATGGAAAAAAATATCTTGACTTCCTCGGTGGACTCGCTGTCAACGGCTTAGGGCACTGTCACCCGAAGGTTGTCGCCGCCATCCGTGAACAGGCAGGTAAGCTGCTACATACCTCCAATCTCTACTATATCCAACCGCAGGCAGAACTCGCGAAATTGCTTATCGACAATTCCGACATGGATCAGTCCTTCTTCTGCAATAGCGGTGCCGAAGCAAATGAGGCGGCGATTAAGTTAGCACGGAAATACGCCAAAGACAGCGGCAGAACAGACGCCTACGAAATCATTACGATGGAGAATTCGTTCCATGGACGGACGATGGCGACTATCACCGCCACAGCACAAACGAAATATCACGTCGGGTTTGAGCCGATGCTCGAAGGTTTCAAATACGTGCCGTTCGACGATCTCGAAGCAACCGAAGCCGCCATCAGTGAGAAGACGTGTGCCATTTTAGTCGAGCCGATTCAGTCCGAAGGCGGCGTTAATATCCCTACTGATGGGTATCTCCAAGGGTTACGAGACCTATGCGACACACATAACCTGCTACTCATCTTCGACGAAGTCCAAACCGCGATGGGGAGATTGGGTACCTTTTTCGGATACCAAGGCTACGGCGTTGTGCCAGATGTAATCACGATGGCGAAGGCTCTCGGTAGCGGTGTACCCATCGGCGCGATGTTGGCGAAACGACACATAGCGGAAAGTTTTGTGCCCGGCACCCATGCGGCGACATTCGGTGGAAATCCGTTAGTCACCGCGGCGGCAGCCACAACCGTCAGAACCATTTTGGAAGAAAACCTCGCCGTGAACGCCGTTAAAATGGGGAATTACCTTGCTGGCGGACTGATGGAACTAAAGGGCAAATATCCGATCAAAGAGGTACGCGGGAAAGGCTTACTCTGTGGCTTAGTCATGGAAGTCGATGCAAAACCGCTCGCTGCAAAGTGTATTGAGAACGGGCTGGTCACCATCTGCACCAACGATTATATCCTCCGGTTCTTACCGCCGCTCAATATCAACGCCGGTCATGTTGAGGAAGCCGTTAACATCGTTGAAAAATCGATGTCTGAAATCTTTTAAGATGCGATACATCGAAAAGCCTGACGCAGTTGCATGGACAAAAATCTATGTGTTCTGTCTTCTCCTTGCAGTCGTGGGATGCCGCGGTAGCACGAGCACGATTGAATTGTCACCCGCCACCCGTGCGGAATTGGATGCTATCCTCAACACATTGCAAGCAAGGTACGACTTGACTGGTTCCTTAAAGATCGCCCGGATGATGGTAACCATTGAGGACGGCGAACAACGCGAGGAACTCCGAGAATCGTTGTGGTATAAAAAATCGGAAAACGGCGGGGAATTGCTCCACATCCAAGTACTCGGAGCGATGAACGCACCACGCGGCATCGCAATTGCCAATCAGGACAAGAACCAGTTCCTACTCCGTCTTGTGAATGAGCAGAAAGCATACGTCGGACCGCTATCGGATGGAGCATTGCGAGAAATTTTCGGCGTGGATTTGCGTGTGTCAGATGTCCTGAGTGCGATCTTCGCCAATCCGTTCCTCGATGGACGCACTGCTAACTTCATATCCGTTGAAAGCTCCGGCGCAAAATTTATTATTAAGCGTCCGGGTGTCCAAAATGGGCACATGGAGACTATCACGTTCTTCATCCGCGAGGATGAACCACGAGTTACAGAATGGCACATCCACGACGAAAACGGCACGCTTGAACAACGTGCCACCTTCGCTGACTACCGTGAGGTGAGCGGTATCCTCCGACCCCACAAGGTCGAAATCGAACGTCCGCTTGAACAAACACGAGTCGCCGTGAAAATTGCCAAAGTCGAACTGAACGTCGAGATTAAAGACAGCAAGTTTGACCCTGAACCCTATCTGGGCGAGGACATCGAAATTATTCCCTTGTCCGAATTAAGAGAATAGTGGACAAAAATCGTGCAGAAGATAAGAGTCCGCGCGCATGCGAAAATTAACCTCTATCTGGATGTCGTAGGCAAACGCGAGGATGGCTATCACAACCTCGAAACGATCTTCCACTCAATCGGATTGCACGACGATGTCATCATCCGCAAACAGGAAACGAAGGGCATAACAGTTCACTGTGAACACCCAGGGGTTCCCTGCGACTCCCGTAATCTGGCATATCGCGCGGCACAGCATCTGAGTGATGCGGTAGGCGGTATCGGTGGGATTGCGATTGACATCCATAAGCGGATTCCGGTTGCGGCTGGACTCGCAGGCGGGAGTGCAAACGCTGCTGCCGTTCTCCACGGCGTAAACGAACTTTTCGGGTTAGGCTTCAAAGAGGAAACCCTAATGCAGTTTGGAGCACAGTTAGGGGCAGATGTCCCGTTCTGCTTGCAGGGTGGTGCTGCACTGGGGCTCGGCATCGGCGATCGATTAACGCGCCTTCCCGTACTCCCAGATGTACCGCTCCTCCTTTTAAATCCCGGTATCGAAATTTCGACAGCAACTGTATTTAAGAAATTGAATTTTTCCTTGACAACACAAGAAAAAAAATGTATAATTATAAAGGTTTGTTTGGAAAAGGGTGATGTCATCGGCATCGGGAAGAACCTATACAACCTACTTGAGGTCCCAGTTTTTTCCCAATATCCCGAAATTGCTGCGCTAAAAACTGAGTTATCTACGCAGGCTGGGTTTTGTGGCGCGCTCATGTCGGGGAGTGGTGCTACGGTGTTCGCTGTGATGCACAATGGTGACGCAGCACGTCGGAGTGAATCACACTTCATAAACAGAGTCAGCTTTTGTACAACCACGGTAACCAGTCCCGTCGGTGTATATGTATATTGACGATTAAAGGGCGGTGGCCAAGCGGTAAGGCACAGGTCTTTGGCACCTGCATGCGTAGGTTCGAATCCTACCCGCCCTGTCTCCTTTTTGCGGCGTACTCGCCCATAAGCGATCTGCTTTGATGCAGCGACTGAATCTACAAAGAAAAAAGGTTAGAATTTTAAAATGCAACAAGCAAAATTAGAGGCTCAACAACGCGACACTTTCGGAAAGCAGAGCGCTCGTGAACTCCGGAAAGAAGGCACGATACCTGCTGTGCTTTATGGACGCGCACAGGACACCTTGGCGATCCAACTCAACGCGCGAACCTTCAAACAATTCCTACGAACGTACGGTGAAAACGTTGTCATCAACATGGCAATCAGTACGGACAACACTGAAACTGTCATTATCAGAGAAATTCAACGCCATCCGGTGGATAAACACATGTTAATTCATGCGGATTTTATCAGAATCTCTTTAGATGAACCTGTAACATCAGCCGTGCCGGTGATCCTAATAGGCAGTCCACTCGGTGTTGAGGAGGGCGGCACCCTTGAATTCTCTCTCCGCCAAGTGACACTTCACTGTCTGCCGGCACAAATGCCGAACGACCTCTCGATTGACGTAAGTCAATTGAGCATCGGTGACGCTGTCCACGTGAGTGATTTAAACCTGGACGAGGAAATTGACATATTAGATGAACCAGAGCGGATTATTGCGACGGTGAGCCAACCGCGCGTCATACTCGATGAACTAACAGAGGCTGAAGATGGCGAAGAAGGAGAAATGGAAGAAGCCGCTGAAGAACCTACGGAACCAGAAATTATTTCTCGTAGGCGCTATGATGACGACGAATAGCGTTGTCTATACGAAAAAACCACAGGAAGCGCGCACCAACAGGCACTCTGCACGTGTTACGGTTAGCGCGCTTTTCTTAAGCATTCTCGCGTGGATTCTCGCACTCAACGCTCCCGCTCAAGAACCCTCCGTTCGCTTCATTGATGTCAATGGAGGAACCATCGCCGAAGTGCCTGCACAACTCCAAGAGGCACAGATTTACCTCTCTGTTGACGCGGTGAGACAGGTCTTCGATCTCGAAATGACGGATCAATACAATCATCCGCGAAAACGACTCACCCTGAAAACGAAAGGCAAGCAAATCCGCTTACAAATTGGGAACCCGGTCGTCAGTATCGATCCCGGCGGGCAGACACGCACCCTTCCCACACCTCCAATAATCATCGCGCAACAGCCGATGTTACCGATCGCTTTTTTCACGCAACTCCTACCAGAATTCAATAACCTCGAAGCCATCTACAATCCCAGTTTGAATAGGGTGCAACTTAGACCCAACGAGGCATGGACACCAGCTGTGACAGGTGATGTCGTGAATTGGGCAATCATCATCGACCCAGGACACGGGGGGACAGACGACCGTGGATGCGAAAGTAGTACAGGTCTCCTTGAGAAAGACATTGTACTTGCACTCGCAAAACAACTTTCTTCGATCAGCAAAGAGCACGCAATACAGGTCTACCTCACACGTCAGACAGATACGAAAAAGACACACTTTGAACGCATTCAGGTCGCAAAACGGAACCAAGGACAACTCCTTCTCAGTCTACACTGCAACGCATCATTTTCACCCCATGAAAAAGGCATTAAAATTTACCTCAACAATCCCAAAGGACAACTTCGATTCCCAAGTAACGTCCAGTCAGCACTTACAGGACAACGGTTAAAAATTCTTGCTCAAGCCAACTTTCTAAAGCAGAGCCAAGACTTCGCACACGCGCTGCAAACGGAATTGAATTTCCTAACGGAAACACCAGTTAAGATTACCGAACTCCCACTTGTAGCGTTATCCGAAGCCTATATGCCAGCACTCGTTTTGGAACTTGGCTATCTCTCCAACGTGGAGGACTTAGAGAAACTCTCTAATTCTGAATATATGGCAGGCGTTTCCCAAGCAATTGTCCGCGCTTTCCAACGATACATTTCTTCTATTAACCCGCCTGTCCCGCCAACAGTATTAGAATAGTAACACACCCATCGGTTTAGAACAAACCTGTACTTGTATACAAGGAAAACCTATGTCAGACACTCAAGAAGCAGTGAAACATAACAGTAGTGCCGGGTTTTCAAGACTTTTAGTGATATGGGGAATAACTTTGGTTCTCGTCGCAGTTGGTCTCGGTGCGACATTATATCTGATTGAAAAGTCAAAGCAATCGGTGGTTCCGACAGCACCACCACCATTACCCATCGCTGCTAACCCGTCAGACATACCACCCCCACCGCAAGAGGTCAACCTATTTCTTCTCAACACTACTGCGCTGACGCTTGTCCCGGTTAAAACCGAACGACGACTCCACGCTGAACTTACCAAACGTTTGAGTCAAATAGTCACAGCACTCATTCAGGAGACACCACCCAACTTTAGAAACACGATTCCGCGTGGAACAGTCCTGAACGAAGCCTACATCGATAGCCAACAAACCGCATACTTGGACTTTTCAAGCCATCTCACCGATGGACATATCGGTGGGACAACAGCAGAACTTTTGACCATTACGGCAATTCTCAAAACCGTTTTCGACGCATTTCCTGATGAAATTGAACAGGTTCAGATTTTAGTTGATGGCGAGGAAGTGAAAACGCTCGTGGGACACCTCAACCTTTCACAACCTCTACACCTGTTTGAATAGGACCTTTCGTTTTTCTGACGAAGGTTGAAACTTCCGAATTCACCTGATAAGGACGTTAGCAGTCCAGGCGGGACGAAGGGTGTATAGAAAAGTGTAAACTTATTTTTAGAATTCACTATAAAACATAAAGAAAAAACTGAGCCTGTAATGTAATGGAAGGCGACTCTTAAGGAATGCCCGTCAAAGTCTAAACCCACGTCATTTTACCGCAAGGAAAATTAAAAAAGTGAAACTCATTGTTGGACTCGGCAACCCAGGGATACGCTATGAGCAGACTAAACACAACGTCGGCTTTCGCGTGATTGACGCACTCTACAAGAAATGCAGTCGAAGTACATCCCATACATCAATTTGCAAATCACTCGTTATGCAGATGACATGGCACGATGTCCCTATTATCCTCGCGAAGCCGATGACATACATGAACAACAGTGGCACTGCTGTCGCCGCGCTCATCCGGAAGTTCGAGATTCCACTCTCGGAACTGTGCGTCGTTTATGACGATATTCACTTAGACATCGGTGTGCTTCGGATACGACAGAAAGGAAGCGACGGAGGTCAGAAGGGAATGAAGTCCATTATCCATCATTTGGGCACTACAGCATTCCCACGCCTACGCATCGGTATCGGGGAACCCATCGGCAACTTAACCGATTATGTCCTTACGGGTTTTACAGAAGACGAAGAAATTGAGACAGCACATATCATCGATCGTGCCGTTGATGCGATTAAAACCTTCGTCAAAAATGATATTCTTACAGCAATGAACCAATTCAACAGACGCTGAAATAGCCGTCAGCCTGCTTCGCAGTGAGAACCTTCGGCTGTCAGCGGGCTCCCTATTAGTTTTTGGAAATTTTCAAACCAAACAGGAAACTGATGTCAAACCAAAAATCCTCTTTGCTGAAAGTACAAACCACCATTGACGCTGTGATAAAAGCCATGCAACTCTGCGAACAAGTGCAAGTCGAGATGGTGCCAACAGATGCAATCCAGAAGGCAGACCGGAGCCCCGTAACTGTCGCGGACTTCGGATCGCAGGCACTGATATGCAAGGCAATTGGCGATGCTTTTTCCGACGACGTTATCGTCGCTGAGGAAAGCGCGCAGGCACTGAAAGAGAACGCATCGCTCTTAGAACGCGTCACAGGTTACGTGAACCGATTTTGCAAAGAAACACCGCACTCGGCAGAGACCGTCTGTGAATGGATTGATCGGGGGAGTGGTGAAGTTGGACCGAACTTCTGGACGCTTGACCCGATTGATGGCACGAAAGGCTTTCTTCGCCGTGATCAGTACGCAATCGCCTTGGCTTATATCGTCGATGGCACTGTTCAACTTGGCGTTTTAGGTTGCCCAAACTTGCCATATCAGTTGAACGACGAAGACGCAGAACGCGGGTGCCTCTTTGTCGCTATCCGCGGTGAGGGCACGCGGCTCTACACTAAAACGGGGGACTTTATAGAGCAAGTACACGTATCTGAAAGCCGCACATCGCTTCGCAGAGAGCTTCGAGTCCACGCACGGGGACAGCGAGGCACACGGTAGCATTGCGAATGCCCTCGGAATCACAGAATCGCCTGTCCGCATGGACAGCCAAGTGAAGTACGGCATTGTTTCCCGTGGCGAAGCGTCGCTCTATATCCGTCTTCCGAACCCGGCTTACCCAGATTACCGCGAATGCATCTGGGACCACGCTGCAGGACTTATCGTAGTTGAAGAAGCAGGCGGCACGGTAACAGACGCGAACGGCATCCCTCTCAACTTTCTGACAGGAAAACGGATGCATGAGAATCGCGGAGTCGTCGCAACCAACGGAAAACTCCATCAACACGTTTTGAAGGCGTTAGCCAAGTCGTAACTGAGTATTCGATAAAATAGCACGTAGGTGGGATTTCTATATCCCGACCTCCCTATCTAAAACAATTTTTCTAACTATGGCCACCTGGACAGCGTTCCACTTCGTTTCACGCTGGTTTTGGTGAATTCCAAGCGGTTTCTGGATTTTAGCCCCAGCGGGGCGATATGTCTATAGGGGAACGATGCGCGAGGGCGGATCATTAGAAAAGAGTTAAAAATATGAAAACTGGGCAAATTGTTGCACCACGTCAGATCGAAATTATTGACATAGAACAACCGAACCTCGCCGATTACCCTGATGGCACAGTGATGATTAAAACCGTCCATAGTGCCATCTGCGGCACGGATATGCCATCGTTTGTCCTCGAACATCCAGCGGACAGTTATCCGCTTGGAACGGGACTTTCGATTCACGAGGCAATTGGCATCGTTACAGAAAGCACATCGGACAAATTTAAGGCAGGAGACGAGGTCCTCGCGCTTCCACGCTACATCGGCGGACTTTCAGAATACTTCCTATCGGATGAAAGTGGCACGTTACCGTTGACGGATTTCCCGCGAAAGGACTGCATTCTGATGTCCCAACCGCTTGGAACGGTTGTTTGGGCGTGTCGGAAGCTACCGAACCTACTTAACCTCGACACCGTCGTTGTCGGACAGGGACCGATGGGGCTCCTCTTTACACACATGCTGAGCAACCTCGGGGCGCGCACCGTGATTACGACGGATCTGGTCGATTTCCGACTCTCAGTTTCCAAGAAGATGCAGGCTACACACACGATTAACGCTGCTAAGGAAGACCCCATCGCTGTCGTTGAGGAAATTACGGAGGGCAGAATGGCAGATCTGGTTATTGAGGTCGTTGGACATCAAATGGAAACTATCAACGAGTGTCTTCAACTCCTGAAGCGGGGCGGGACACTCCTCGCTTTCGGCGTACCGGACGACCAAATTTACGATTTCCATTTCGCAGACTTCTTTCGGAAAAACCTTAGATTCATCGGCTCCGTCGGACCAGATGCACCGAACGACTTCCCGCTGGCGATGGATATGATTGCCCAAGGACGTTTAGATGTGTCACCAATTATTACACATCATCTTCCTTTTACAGAGGCACAATTCGGATTTGAGATGGCACTGAATAAGAAAGATGAGGCGGTTAAGATAGTTTTCGACTACGAATAGTAGTAGTACTTTATCGACTTTCAAATTATGGGTGTCTGCTTTGGTTTGTAGTAGGGCAATTCATTGCCCGTTGTCGACCTGTTCTCACTGCGAAACAGTGCGATAATGCACGTCGCATTTGGGCGAGTACGCCGCAAAATCGCACGACTACGAACCTGCCCTAAAATTCAAAATGGATAGAACAGTAGGCAGACTCCGTTCTGCCGTTACAACGGTAATTCAACGGGACGTCCCTCACGACTGGACTGGTAGATAGCGAGGATAATCTCAACGGCTTTGCGTCCCTCGCGTCCATCAACGAGATGCGAGGCATCGCTCTCAAGACCATTAATGAGGTTTTCCATTTGTCGTCTATGATTGGCATGGTTAATAGCTCGTGGGTCGGATGCGCCACCGCCTGTGTCTGTCCTTTGGGCGAATTTCTCTCGGATCTCCGCATCTTCAGGCAGTTCTGGGTCGAATTCCCATGTTACAATGTCCTCTTCGGCTAAAACGACAGTTCCCTTTGTGCCGGAGATTTCAGTTTTCTTAAGCATGCCGGGAAAAGCGGCAGTTGTGCCTTCAATGACACCGAGTGCCCCGTTTTCAAATCGGAGTGCGGCGACAGCGGCATCTTCGACCTCTATCCGTTCGTGTGCTAAGGTATCGGTAAACGCTTGGACGGATTTAACGGGTCCCATAAAATACTGGAGCAGGTCGATAGCGTGGATGGACTGGTTCATGAGCGCGCCACCACCATCAAGATCCCATGTTCCTCGCCAACCGCCACTATCGTAATACTCTTGAGAACGGTACCATTTGATGTAGGCATCGCCCAAAGTTAACGTGCCGAACCGCCCGCTCTCAATTGTGGATTTAACGAGTTGCGTACTTTCAGTAAAACGGGAATTGAAGATGGCACATAGCCGAACATCGGATGCGTCACACGCTTCAATAATCTGATCGCACCGTGGTAGCGTGATTTCCAACGGCTTCTCAACGATGACGTGTTTGCCGGCTTCCGCTGCAGCGACGGCGGGTTCCAAATGCGCACCGCTCGGCGTACAGATGCAAACAATATCCAAGTCGTCGCGTTTGAGCATCTCTGCATAATCGGCGTAACTGTCAACGTTGTATCGATCGGTGAGCCGTTTGGCGTTCTCAGCATTTCGTGAACTGACTGCAACCAACTGACCGTGTTCTAATTCAGAAATCGCGGCGGAGTGAAAATCGGAGATCATTCCGCACCCAATAATACCAAATCCGTAAGTTTTCATATTTTTAACTTTTTTATCTATCGAATATAGGCACCGCTCCATTACATTACGCGGTGGTTTTCGGTTAATTCCAACCACTTCTGGGATGCCCACGGCTTCAGACTTCACCAGAAACCCGTCAGGAGACAGAAATGAAAATGTTTACATTTTCATTTTCTTTCCGCCTGCGTAATGTAATGGAGAGCAGCCCAGGAGGCCAATTATTTAAAAAATGGAAAAAATTATGACTTCCAATGAAAATCAAGTTCCAGAGCATTCGTCTACAGAGGAACAGGACCCCGAACAGACGCCTACCAACAAAGCTTTCAGAATCGTCTGTATGACGTTTTGCCTTGCCGTAACGGTACTCTTTCTCTGGGTCTGGCACCACCAAACCCAATTTAACGACCACTATCGAAAGGCAACTTTTTTGATGCGCAACGGCGAAGCACACCAAGCAATTGAAACGTATCAGAAGGCAATAAAAAATAAAGCTCGCACAATTTTCTTTACCAAAGAACCATCGGTTTACAATAACCTTGGACAGGCGTACCTATATGCCGAGGAATATGCTTCCGCTGTCGAGAACTTTGAAAAAGTGATTGAGATGGCACCGAATATCGCTGAAGGCTATGTTAACTTGACCACCGCCTATCTCCGGCAGAACCTACCTACCGATGCGCGTGCTTCGTGCCTGCGCGCCCTTCAAATCTTCCCGAAGACTGCGCTACTCCATTACAACCTTGCGTGCGCTTACGCGTTAGAAGGTGAATCCCAAAAAACGGTAGACTCGCTTACGCAAGCGGTAAGTCTTAACCCGGAACTCAAAGCACTGGCACAACAAGAGGGTACGCTTAAAGGGATTGTGTCTGAACTTCCCTGAATTCTGTACACTTTCAATGCAGATTAGCGGATTCCAGGCAACACATCTGCTAACTTGCCACCACAGTGTGCTGTCCTAAACCAAAATAATTTGCCACGGAAATTTACTCTGGGTTGGCTTCTTCTGAGTCATCTTATCTCTGGTGTGCTAATACGATTGTGAAATAGAACAGGGTAGCAGATGCCCTTAGGACCGTGCGGAAAGATACGCCTTACCGGTATTACCCTCACCGACAAATACAGTCAGCGGACGAAGATCTATCTCTGCTTTCTCTATTGGTTCAAAATTCTCCACTGCAATGTGAATATCTGGGCACTGCTGTCCATGCTCGGTTTTTCGCATTGTCTCTCCTGCCAGCGATGATTTTAAATCAATTATACGTCTATACTCACCTATTTGCAACGAAAAATGGGCGAGAACAAGATCTCACCCATCTTAGTTAAAACAAACAGTGGATAGATATACACCACCACTATCTCTTCAATTTACCCCACACCATCGCCAATTTACCGCGGGCAGAAACATCAAGCGTATCGTTGACGATTTTCTGGATGTCCGCTTCAGAAAGAGGATAGTTGGCTAACATTAGCTCATCAATACGTCCTTGGAAGAAACGCGGGCAGCATCCGTTATTTTCGCCACCGAATCGTAAGCCTTTATCTGCTCTGCTTAGACCAGGTCCCTTCTGTCCGATAGCGGTGCCATCAGATTCGCCATTGATATAGAAACGGGCTTCGCTCCCATCCCACACAAGGGCAACATGGCTCCACTCTTTCGCCTTTATTTTGCCATCAGAAATATGGTAACCAGGGTTATTGGTGTCGTAGAAGTAATAAGCAAGCTGTCCTGCACCCGGCTCAATCTGCAGATAGTAGGTGTTCTTGTAGAAAATCGTGAATTTGTTTTCCTGCCCACCCGCTGGTAGTTCATCAGGATAAACCCATGTCATCATCGTGATCGCTTCATCTATGTCAATCTCATCGGAGTGTGCGACATCTATGAAATCGGCTTTACCGACCTTACCAGCCATTTGCACGGCGTTCCCTGAAATGCCTTCAGCCCACTTCACATCGCCGTCGAATTCACCGACCAAGCCAGCAGTCTCATCTTTAGCCTGTTTCCCTTTGCCTTCGTCGAAATGCCAGACATATAATTTCTCGCCGAGCTGTTTCACGTTGCCCTTTCCACCCGCAGCGTAACCCGCAAAGCAGAGAGATAGACTTAGAAAAACGCATAGTATCGTAAGGATCCGAGCTTTCATCAGTAATACCTCCTAATAAGATGAACAGAAGGGCGGGTCCAAGAACCCGCCCTTACAACAAAATTTGGCAACAGGCAGGCACTCCAGCACTACCCCTACAACAGAAAACAGAGAGTGTCGTCTGCCTCTACATTTTCAACTTACTCCATGTTGTGGCAAGTTTATCCTTGGGAGACACAGCAAAGTAAACGCCGTTTTCCATATCTTGGTTAATCTCCTCAACGGTGAGGGCGCGATCGTAGATGGCTACCTCATCAACCAAGCCAATCATACCGGCTAACCCCGTTTGCGCCTTACCGATACGGAAGACCACCTCAATGCTGTTAATTTTACCCTTCGGTGGCGCGAATTCGACATCTAATTTGCCATCAATATATTGGCGAATCATATCACCATCGAAGGTAGAAGAAACGTGATGCCATTCTTCCAAACCGGGCTTAATGGTCTGTTTATTCCGCGAACCTTGCCACCCACCTATGTTAATCCATGTTTCAATTTGTGGAGCACCAGTAAACTGCGCGCTCCATTGGAGGCAATAGCCCCCGACATTTGCCCCGCTTCTACGTCCCATCAGGTTAGAGTCACCTTGCGATTCTTCAGGGAAAAACCACGCCTGAATCGTAAGTCCATCGGTGATGTCAAGTTCGGGGATCGCGTCAACCTCTACAAACTTCTCAGGATCTTCAAGATGACAGCACCGCCAATTTTGCCATCTTTCGACCAGACCGCACCTTCAAAGGTACCTTCAATGTTATTTCCAGTTACATCTACAACTTTGCCACCGTCGTCTTCATCAAAAGTGAAGTACAACATGAGCGCCTTGTCATCGTTTAACGCCCACGCATTGACACTGAGACTCAGAGCAATGAGGGCAAGAACTATGATAATCGGTTTCATAACCGTAGACTCCTTTATTATCGTTGTCAGTTGTCGGTACGGTTTGCCACGCGAACCTTTCAGCGGTCATTAACAAAAGGTATTTGAAGTTCCATAACCCTCTTAACCGACTACTGACAACTGATAGCTGACAACTACTTAACCTAAGTTGCTACTTACAAGAGTTTAGACATATATACACCGGTTTTGATCGAAAATACGAAAAATTTCCGCTAATTCTGGTATTCTACGATGCTTTGAACTTACAATTCTTACTCACCTGATATAAGGTGGCAACTCAGGTTACTTAGAACGTAGAAATCTGAATTTCCTTCGCTGTAATAAACTCAAGGAGGGCAGGAGTGCCTTCTTGTGTTTTTTGGATGCCACGCTGAATAGCCGGGATAATCTGGTCAGGTGTTTCGACACGCTCACCGTAACCACCGAACGCCTTCGCCATGTCTGCGTAGTGACCAGAGATGTCTGTACTACGGAATTTTTCGGTAGACACAGGCATAATCGGAATCTCAATCGCCATAGAGAAATTGTTGAAAAGCACTGACAAAATCGGGATTCTTTCCCGCACAGCGGTCTCAAAATCCATACCAGTAAAGCCGATAGCCGCATCACCCCAGACGTTAATACAGAGCGCATCCGGTTTGGCGAGTTTCGCACCCATAGCGAGTCCGAGACCGTAACCGAGCTGCGTCGTCTTGCCCCAACCGATATAGGTGAGCGGTGCGACAGGCTCCCAGAACGGTGACATTTGGTCGCGCGGGCTACCCGCATCGTGCGTAATAATCGTGTTTTCGACATCGACAGTGTGCAGCAGATCCCAGATGACACGATACGGCGTCATCGGCACTTCATCCGAGGTGAGTTTAGCCTTCCACTGGTCAAGCCATTCCCCTTTAACCGCACTAATTTCTCCGGTGACGGCAGCCGTGCGCTCTTCGGATGCACCGTTGGAACGATCGCGAACGGCTTCTACCAATCCATCTAAAATTAAACCCGCATCGCCAACAAGAGCAATGTCAACGGGAACATCTTTGTTGATGTCCGCTGGATCTAATGTCGCGTGAATAACCCGTTTTCCTTCGGGAATCCTGACACCGAAGCCAGTTCGAGTGAAACTGCACCCAATACCGAAAATCAGATCCGTTTTTTGGAGGAAGTGATGCACCGGTTTCGGAATCGCGCGTCCACCGGAACCGAGGGCTAACGGATGATCTTCAGGGAAGGCACTTTTGCCGCCCAAACTCGTCGTTACAGGTGCCCCAAGCAGCTCTGCCAATTCTTTCAAAGAATCCCAAGCTTGGGCGTAATGCACGCCTTGTCCAGCGTAGATAATAGGACATTCGGCTTCAAGCAGTGCCTCTGCAGTGGCTTCAATTGACGCGCTGTCAGGTCCGTAGCGCACGATAGGCACCGGTTTCGGATCAAAGGAATCGGAAATCTCTTCACCGAACAGATCCGACGGGAATTCAACGAGCGCGGGACGCGGTCTGCCATTTCGAACTTGGGTAAAGGCACGCCGCATCGCTTCCGGGACAGCTTCAGGCACCGTGACCTGCTCACACGACTTCGTTACGTGCCGATAGTTCAAGGCAGAATTGAAATTCGGCTGGATTTGGGATAGGCTCCGAGAATAGCCACCCGGCAAAACCACAATCGGCGCGGAATCGCCATAGGCTTGGGCAACACCACCGAAGGCGTTTTCGGAACCGGGACCGCTCTGCATGCAGAACACACCAATCTTCTCCCCGGAGGTCATTCGGCTCATCGCGTCTGCCATGTGAAGTCCAATACGTTCCTGTCTAACGATAATCGGACGGATGTCTAACTTCGCCGCCGCTTCAATGATCGGGTTAACGGGATACGCAAACAGGTATTCCACTCCCTCTGCTTTAAGGACTTTTGCAACTGCATCAGCAACTTTCATTTTTTTAATGTTCCTTTTTATTGGCTATCAGCCTTCAACAGTTATCAGTTGTCAGTACGCTCACTTCGTTCGCTTTCAGTTTTCAGTTAAGAGGTTTTCGTTTAACAAAACCCTCTTTTAACTGATAACCGATAACTGAAAGGGTTGCGTAGCAACCCGTACTGACAACCATTCCTCTGACAGCCGACTGCTATTTAGATAAAACAGGTTATGGACTGGGGTTCGTAGGCACCCCCGCATCCATCACAAGTGGAAAATGGTCGCCTGCTAATTTATCACCATCGTTGACGGCGACAAAACGTTTCATAACATGGTTTCCGCTGGCATCGTATAGCGTTTCGCCTGTCATATAATGCACCGCAATCGCACGCCGAGGACTATCGCTCGCGTTGTCATGCGATCCGTGCCACGTTAAAGAATGATGGTAATGGACATGACCCTTCGGTACAGGGCAAAGCTCCACCTCTAATTCATACTCTTCAAAGCGATCCGGCATCGAATCAATGTCTTTGATGGAATGAAGGAACGGAATCTGATTACCCCAATGATAGGAGCCAGCGACCATACGCATACATCCATTGCTTACATCAACATCGTCCAACGCAACCCAAGCACTTACCTGACTCGTTTTCGGCATAAGAATCGGCCAATAGGGTGAATCCTGATGCCACATGTTGACTCCACCGACCTGCGGTGGCTTGTATTGGATTTGGTCATGCCAGACGCGTAATTCGGTCGCTGCTGTCAGTTGTCCAATCTCTTCCACAATCACTGGATTGTGAACGAGTCGATGGTAGGCAGAACTCGCCTCCCAAATATTAACGACTTGCCAGACCGGGCTTTCTTCTCTGCCGCCAAGGTTGGCGATGTGCACCGGTTGCGGAACATCGGTTTTCTCGTAATCATCAATAACGCGTGCCAATTCCTCACGCAACTCATCAACCTGCTCATCACTCAAAACACGGTTTCCGAGGAGAAAACCCTTCTCACGAAATGTGTCAACCTGGACTCGGTTGAGCATATCCACTGCCTCCTATAACTTCTATTTCTCGTCGTGCCTATAGAAAAGATCTATATATTGGGTTTCGTCGGCTTCCCATCATCCATCACAAGCGGAAAATGATGACCCGCTAATTTATCACCACCATTGATGGTAACAAAACGTTTCATGAGGTGAGAGCCATCCTCATCGTAACGGGTTTCACTCGTCATATAATGCACCGCAATCGCACGTCGGGGACCGCTACTGGTGTTATCATGCGACCCGTGCCATGTTAAGGCGTGATGATAATGGACATGCCCTTTCGGCACAGGACAAAGTTCCACCTTCAATTCGTTATCTTCAAATTGACTTGGCATCGAATCGATGTCTCCGACCTCGCGCAAGAATGGCATCTGGCTCCCCCAGTGATAGGAACCCCGGGCCATGCGCATACATCCATTGCTTTCATCAACATCGTCTAACGCAACCCAAGCACTTACCTGACTCGTTTTCGGGGTGAGAATACCCCACAACGGCGAATCCTGATGCCAACGATTAACACCACCGACTTTCGGCGGTTTGTATTGGATCTGGTCGTGCCAGACGCGCAACTCTGTCGCCGACATGAGTTGTCCAATCTCTTCCACAATCACTGGATTGTGAACGAGTCGGTGGTAGGCAGAACTCGCCTCCCAAATATTAACGATTTGCCACACCGGACTCTCTTCCTTACCCCCGAGATTGGCAATGCGCACCGGCTGCGCGATCTCGTCTTTTTCATAGTCATCGATAACACGCGCCAATTCTTCACGCAACTCGTCGACTTGTTCATCACTTAAAACACGGTTTCCGAGAAGAAAGCCTTTTTCGCGAAATGTGTCAACCTGAGTTTGATTGAGCATATCTTTTTAATGTTCCTTGTATTGGCTGTCGGCAGTCGGCTGTCAGTCATCAGCAAGAAAGCCTCTTTGCTGACGGTTTCCGACTGCTAACGGCTGACAACCATTCCTTTTGATTTTAGGTGCCAGTTACCCTATTTTTGAGTTCCACCCACTCTTCATCGGAGAGTTTAGGGGGCCACGCAATCCGTTCGCCGATGAGAGCGGAGCGATACGCCGCCATAATCAGATCAAAACCGAGCATCGCATACTCCAATCTGTTACGATGCGGTTGATTTTCGTCATCCAGCCACGCCGCAATCGCTTCAGTAAAGGCGCGTTGCCCGAATTTGTCATCCTCACCGAAGTGGGTCTTCTCAACAAAGTGCTGTGCCATACCATCAAACTGATAGCCCCATGAACCGTTTTCTCTCCACCACATCCTACCTTTCGTTCCCCAAAAATCGAGGTTGCACCGCGGATTACTGCCGGGAAAATCGATAGTTCCGAACGCTGTTCGGGCAGATTCAAAAAAGACGCGAGCACCGTTCTCAAACGTATAAATCGCCATCAAATCTTCGGGGCATTGCCGATGTGGAACGTCATAGATTTCAGCACCTTCAACGGCACCCCACACGTGCGTAAAGGGAATATCTTTAAGCGCAAAAAGCACGACATCCATCAAGTGGGTATCCATATCGGTAATGTCGCCTTCGGTGCAGGCACGGATGAAGTGTATATCACCGAGGCTATCGTCGGCAAAAAACTCCAATAGTTTTTCAGCAAACGGCAGATACCGCCGTTGGTGATTGACGATAATCTTCAAACCCGTTTTCTCGTGCGCGGCGGCGAGTGCTTCTGCTTCGCTGGGTCTGAGAGCGAGCGGCTTTTCTATCACCAATGCTTTAACACCCGCTTCGGCGGCAGGCTCTACCCAGATATGCCGTGGCACCGTCGGTTCCGTGACGGCATGGACAATATCGGGTTTCTCCTTCTCCAACATCTCGACGTAATCTGTGTACCCCGGAACGTTGAGTTCTTCCACCGCTTCTTTTAACCGTTCCTCGTCAATCTCACAGATAGCAATCACCTTCATGTTTTCAATGCCAGTATAGCATCGGGCATGGTGGACACCCCGTCTACCCCCGACGATTGCGGTTCGATACATCGCCATAATATGCCTCCTCGTTGAAGCGTGCAGCTTATAGGTCTCCGAAACTTGCTATTATATTAACACGCTCACAAATTTGTGTCAACCGTTTGATTTGGAAGTTAGATGCATTTGACTGTCATGTTTCTCTATTGTTAAATTCGCGCGCTTGTGATACAATACAATGGATTAAAATAAAAACACCTCTCACAGGAGGGTTATATGAAGATTGATAAGATTGAATCGTTTTTTATCAGGAACGGCTATGTAATTCGGATCCATACGGATACCGGTATCAGCGGTGTCGGACAGACCGCGTGCTGGGGTTATCCAGAAGCCGTTGATAGCATCATCAACACATTTAAGAAATACCTCATTGGACAGAACCCCATGCGGATTGAGCATCACTGGCAATATCTCTATCGCATGGGTCCATTTCGTGGGAGCGCGCTGAGTGGCGCTATCAGTGCGGTGGATATCGCCTTATGGGACATCAAGGGTAAACATTTCGGTGCACCGATTTGGGAACTGTTAGGTGGAAACTGCCGCGATAAAATCCGACTGCACCTCCTCGGTGGCGGTAGCACACCGGAAACGATGTATGACGCAGCGAAAGCCGCTGTCGAAGAAGGCTTCACGGCACTCAAATTTGACCCAGTGGTCGGTGGTTTCCAGGACATGGGAGTTGATCGGCTCGTCAAGACCGCCCGTGACATCGTCGCAGCAGCGCGAGAAGGCGGTGGACCAGATCTCGATCTGATCGTTGAGGTACATCGGAAACTGACACCGATGAATGGCATCCTCTTAGAATCGGCACTTGCACCCTTTAATCTCTACTTCATTGAAGACCCGATCCAGATAGATACTATTAAAACGCAGGCGGAATTAGCAAAACGGATGACAACCCCGCTCGCTATCGGCGAACGCAATGTAAGCATTTGGGAATTCCGTGAACTCTTAGAGGCAGGCGGCCCGCAATATGTCCGTCCAGATCTCGGTCTCGCCGGCGGCATAACGCACTGCAAGAAAATAGCGGCACTTGCTGAAGCATATCACAGCGCGGTTGTCACACATAACTTCCTCGGACCGCTCATTACCGCCGCATCGCTTCACTTAGATGCGAGCATCCCGAACTTCATCACACAGGAATATACGAAAGGCGACGAATCCGCAGATTCCGCCGTTTATAAAGTGGCGTATCAGCGGGAAGGTGGATACATTCCAATCCCTGAAGCTCCGGGTTTGGGCATTGAACTTGACGATAGTTTGATCGAGAAGAATCCTTATCAACCGATGAATACTGGCACGACACCTTTGCGTGAAGACGGCTCTGTCGCTTACGCAGTCTAACAGCAGTCAGCCATCAGCAGTCGGCTATCAGACAAGAGGTCTTTGGTAAAGTATCCTTTTTTTCTGATCGCCGACCGCTGAAGATTGATAGCCAATAAAAAGGTGGAGGAAATCGAACATGAACGCTGACGAAAAATATCTATTCGATCTGAACGGTTACCTTATTATCAAGAACGTGCTAACACCCGAAGAGATAGCAATAGCGAATGAAGCGATTGATAAACATAGTGAGCCAGCACGCATCCGTCCACGCGAACAGGCACTCGATGGCGGCTCCCCGGAATTAAAAGGAGAGCAGGGCAGAGGGGAACTCGGCAGTATGCTCAATTGGGAGGAACCGTGGTGTAATCCGTTCCGACACATGCTCGCACACCCTACACTCGTCCCGTATCTGAATGTAATATTGGGAAAAGGGTTCCGAATGGATCATCAGATGTTTCTGCTTTCAATGGACAAGGGTGCAGAGGGGCATACGTTCCATGGCTCCTCCGGTCCTGGCTTCGATCCGAACCAATACTATATTTTCCGTGACGGACGCATGCACAACGGCTTGACTGTCGTCACATTCCAATTGACGGACGTGCCACCCGGAGCGGGAGGGTTAATCGTTATACCGGGAAGCCATAAGAGCAACTACTCGTGTCCGCAAAAGATGCGGCTTTACCAAGAACACCAAGAGCATATCCGGCAACTTGTTTGCAACGCCGGTGATGTAGCAATCTTCACGGAGGCAGTGACGCACGGAACGCTTCCGTGGACAGCCGAACATCCGCGCCGCTCCATTCTAACCCGTTATACCGCAGGCAACATGGCGTATGTTCCTGCCTATGAAATACCGGAATGGGCGAATGAGCGCCAGCGCGCTGTCATGGAACCACCTTATCATTCGCGATTAAATCGTCCGACCTTGGAAACGTAGGAAGGTTTTTAATTTATGGGATCCTGGACTCCGCTACGCTTACGCGCAGGTTTCTGGTGAGGTCGCAACTGAAATAAGGATCTGTCCGGCATAGCACCAAAAAACCAAGCCCGCAACAACGATGCAGGGTTTTTGCGAATCAACACAGGATTTAGTCTGGGAATAGACTGGATTTAGTCTACGGATAGACTAAATCCGTTCCTTGTATTACATTTGCGCGTGTGGCATTCCGTGGGGTGTTTCTTCAGATGTGAGAAAGGCACGTGAAAGCCCAATCTCACGCTGTTTAACCGTAAGGAAAGTTAAAAAATGAATGCTGATGAGAAATATCTATTCGATCTGAATGGTTACCTTGTTATCAAGAACGTGTTAACCCCCGAAGAGGTAGTCCTCGCCAACGAAGCCATTGACAAACATAGCGACCAAGCGCGCGTCCGTCCACGCGATCAGACACTTGATGGCGGCTCTCCAGAACTGAAAGGCGAACAAGGTAGAGGCGAACTCGGCGGTATGCTTGGATGGGAAGAACCATGGTGCAATCCGTTCCGACACATGCTGGCGCATCCTACACTTGTCCCTTATCTCAATGAGATACTGGGAAGAGGCTTTCGTATGGACCATCATATGTTCCTGATTTCAATGGACAAAGGTGCCGAAGGCTTTATCTTTCACGGATCTTCAGGTCCCGGCTTCGATCCGAACCAGTACTACATTTTCCGTGATGGGCGCATGCACAGCGGTTTGACCGTCGTTACGTTTCAGTTAACGGACGTGCCACCGGGAGCAGGTGGATTAATCGTTATACCGGGAAGCCATAAGAGCAACTATCCCTGCCCACAAGAGATGCGGCTTTACCAGAAACACCAAGAGCATATCCGGCAGCTCGTCTGCGACGCGGGCGACGTGATAATTTTCTCTGAGGCGGTGACGCACGGAACACTCCCGTGGACCGCTGAACATCCGCGTCGCTCCATCTTAACCCGTTATACCGCAGGCAATATGGCGTATGTTCCTGCCTATGAAATACCGGAATGGGCAAACGAACGTCAACGTGCTGTCATGGAACCACCCTATCATTCGCGATTAAATCGTCCAACCTTGGAGACGTAGGAAGGAATATCTGACATGTCTACTTCAATGAGTGCGATCCTGGGTCTAATTTTTTTAGGACTCGCGAATGCCTCTGTTTTTTTGATGTTTAAGTTATGGGGGTATCCGTTTGACGAGGAGACACATACGAGTACTGCCCCACGCTCCTTGATGCGGCTCCACCGGCTCATCGGTTACGCGTATGCGGTCCTCTATGTCTTTATGATGTGGCACATGGTGCCACGTTTGTGGAATTACCAAGTCGAATTGCCACCTCGAACCGTCGCTCATCTGATGCTCGGTATCACCATCGGCGTGCTGATCCTCGTTAAGATTGCCATTCTCCGGTTTTTCCGGCATTTTGAGGAATCAATGCCTTATATCGGCACATGCCTGCTCATTTGCACATACCTATTGATTGGGTTATCGGTGCCATTTACATTCCGTGAAGCGGCGTTGCGAACACAGACAAAGGCTTTCAGCGAGGAAGGTATCGCGCGAACCCGTAAGTTGCTTGCAAATGCTGGATTGTCAACGGAAGCACCACTTGACGAACTCGCGTCAAAGCGAAAATTGCGGGAGGGTCAGCGTGTCCTACAACGTAAGTGTGTTGTCTGCCATGACTTACGCACCATTCTCGTGAAACCACGCACCCCAACCAACTGGGTCAGCCTTGTCAATCGGATGGCGATAAAGCCGATGATCGGTGAACCGATTCATGAGGAAGAAGAGTGGACAGTCTCGGCATATCTCATCGCGATTACACCGGATATCCAGACTTCGGCTCGGCAACAACGGCAAGAACAGATGCGCGCAGATGAAGCGAAGGCAGCTGCCCAAATCGCAACTTTCGCTATGGAAATGGATGTAGAAGTTGAAACCGATACAACGGAAACCGACACCTACGTCGAAGCAGAAGCGAAAGCACTCTTTGAGGACAAATGCTCTCAATGCCATCCCGTCACAGACTGTTGAAGACTATCCACCTCGCTCTGAACGGGAGACAACCGAGGTAGTAGCACGGATGATAGACAACGGACTTTACCTTGAAGAAGAAGAGATCGAGTTGATTACGCGCTATGTTAACGAAAACTATCTGGAAGAATGAATAGGAGGACGGACTAACTGGGCATCTTGATCGTCGTCTTCTCTGATTCGGCATTTATAGATTTTCTTCTTTCTTGTAGAATGGCGGGTAATGCCTTAAACAAGTCCAAAAAAAATGACGAAAACAAAGATCGCTGACCTCAGCGAACTCAATGATCGCGAACCGGCTTATGCCCTCGTTGCGAACGTCGATCTCGTGGTCATCCGGTATGACAACGATGTATCTGTGCTTTACGGCAGGTGTCATCACCGCGGGGCACTGCTCGCTGACGGTTACATTGACGGCGAAAACTTGATATGTGGCGTTCACCAATGGGATTACCACTACGATACCGGTATCAGCGAATATCAGAACACGGAACGCCTCGCCAAATTTAATGCATGGATAGAGAACGACGCTGTCTATGTTGACGAAAACGAAATCCGGGAGTGGGAACGCCAGAACCCACAACCTTATCAACGGGACGAGTATCAGGGAACGTACCAAGACATCCACGGCACCTCGGAAGAACCCTATGTCACCCAAATTCAGGAATTAGCAAGCCATGGACTGAGTAAAGTGGGACACCACGGTCAAACCGCGGCGATGGGAGTGCTACGGGAGGATTTACCGAATTGGGACGCACTTCAGTTTGTTGTTGCCCAGCTCCACAAAACACCCCATCTCGACGATGAACAGGTTGGGACGGAGTTGGTTATCGGTCCGCGGGCGAAGAAACCGCTAAAACTCGATATACCGATCTTTGTCTCGGATATGAGTTTCGGCGCGTTGTCGGCTGAGGCGAAAATCGCATTAGCAAAGGGTGCGGAGATGGCAGGCACGGGTATCTGCTCCGGTGAAGGTGGTATGTTATTGGCAGAGGCAGAAGCGAACAGCCGTTACTTTTATGAACTCGCCTCTGCGCGGTTCGGATTCTCTTATGATAAACTGGAATACGCGCAGGCATTTCATTTCAAGGGTGGACAAGGGGCAAAAACGGGGACAGGCGGACACCTCCCCGGTAGTAAGGTAACAGAGGAGATAGCGGCGGTGCGCGGGCTGCGTCCGGGAAAACCCGCAATTTCACCGGCACGTTTTCCTGACTGGGAAACGCTCGACGATTTTGCAAAGTTTGCTGAACTGGTACGGAAGGAGACTGGCGGCATTCCAATCGGGTTCAAACTCTCGGCACAACACATCGAGAAGGACATCGAAGCCGCACTTCATGTCGGCGTGGACTATATTATCTTGGACGGTCGAGGCGGTGGCACTGGTGCCGCACCCCTCCTATTCCGAGATAACATCTCAGTCCCAACGATGCCTGCCTTAGCGCGCGGCCCAGAAATACCTCGATGAGACAGGGCAACAGCGATGTCACGCTCATTATCACCGGTGGCTTGAGAACAGCCGCTGATTTGCCAAGCGTTGGCACTCGGCGCAGACGGCGTTGCAATCGCGAATTCAGCGATGCAAGCGATCGGTTGTATCGGGATGCGGGCATGTCATACCAATAACTGCCCCGTCGGAATTGCAACCCAGAAAGAACACCTACGTTCTCGGCTACAGGTACAAGTTGCAGCGCAGCGGTTAAACCGCTTTCTCGGTGCGTCCGTTTCCCTCATGCAGGTGTTAGCGCGTGCCTGTGGACACACCCATCTGAATCAGTTCAATTCGGACGATTTGACAACGTGGGAGCGCGATATCGCCTATTTGACAGGTGTGAAATACGCTGGGGTTGTGCCGTTGTAAGCATTACGGAATTTAGGGGAAGGCTGAGACGCGAAGCACACGTCCTTGGGATTCAGGAGGGAGCGCGGAATGCTATTCTTGATGCCTACGACTACTGCACTACAATTGCGTTTTTCTTGTATTTGACGCTTGTGGGTGCTATAATTATTACAGAAGGCATTCGGGATAGGCTGATAATTCATTAACCGACATCCAATAGATACCTATTATGAAGTTTAGACAGGTCATTAAAATGATTGAAGATGATGGGTGGTATCTAGACCGAACGCGAGGCAGTCATAAACAGTATAAACATCCAACTAAACTCGGAGTCGTGACGATCGCAGGGAAACCCAACGAAGATGTCTCCAAAGGGACACTTAATAACATTCTAAAACAAGCCGATCTCAAGAATTGAGGGAAAACCTTATGGAATACGTCGTTATTTTTGAAAAAGGCGAAAACAATTATGGGGCGTACGTCCCTGATCTCCCAGGATGTGCTGTTGTCGGCGGAACACTCGAAGAAGTGCGGAGATTGATCGCTGAAGCCATTGAGTTTCATATCGAAGGACTACAAAAAGCCGGTTATGATGTCCCACAACCTTCGTTTACACCACCTGTTCAAGATCAGCCTGGGATGTCGTCCGAATTAATCGCGGCACAGGTTTAGCTTGGATGTCCAAACACTTCATATTGTAGGGGAGACATTGTGTCTGCTCCTTTTGTTTTTAAAAGTGTACACTGTCCAAAGGGGTCCGATTGGGTATCCTCACCATTTCCGTTCAGTTGCGTCCCTTTGGGAATTACACCCACCAAAAAACATTGATGAATCGAAATCACAGGCGGAGTGGATGTGAGCCGATGCGACTGAATGTGGTCACCGCGAAAGGCTCACAAATCATAGCGCATGAAAGCCAGAAACGCTCCCATAATTTCACGCAGCATCTTCTCATCTCACTTCGTTTTTTAAAAACATCGCTCCGGTGCCCAGAAACAGCAGAATGTTGAGAAAAATCAAGTAGACCAAATCCAAGAAGGCACCTCCGAGGGCGGTATTTCCCCACGCGGTTCCACTGGTAAAGACAGGCATGCCACTTAAGTCGAGCGGTTCCACGTCATCCCAGCTTTTCGGGGTGATATTTGCGAAAAACGCTTTTTCGTCTGATTCTACGAGTCCAGCTTGTGAGGGCATATCGTTGATATTGACTGACGTGAACCAGTTGATACTTGAGAAAGCACCTTGTTCCTGCATGTATGCCATCAGTGCCTTTCGGTAATCCTGTGCTTGATGGATGAACCGCTCATGTCGCCTCAAATCCGTGCCAGACAGACCCGCAGCAGCATTGTAGTAAACCCACGCAGGAGAAAGCCTTGAAAGGTTTTCAGCCAAAACGGTCTGTCTTTTCAGCGAACGGTAGTACCCCTGATAGAGGTTTCCTATCTGCTCTGCGTATTCAATGCGCTGTGGAATGTAAAACCTGGCACCGTCGAGATACCAGAGCATTGCTTCTCTGGATGCTGTTAGTACGAGGAAAGCAAATGGCTGACTGCCGCTGACCACACTGTATCCTGTTGCAAAGTACGAGCTACTTCGATGCTTTGCGCCATAATCTCTGATTTTCTCATTAAACGCCGTCTTAATTGCCTCTCTCTCTATGTTAACCACGGCTTTGGAAGGTATCGGTCGAACCTGCTTTGCGATATACACGGCACCATGTGGAATGATGAATACAAGCACAATCCATAGGAATAGCAACCAGACCAAGGCACTCGCCGACCGACGGGTGATTGCTGAAATCAGCATTGAAAGCAGGAAAAAGACAGAAAGATATAACCCCGAAGCCGCGAACAGTCCGCCGAACCTGCTCCATTCAGCGATGTGAAATTCTATCACTGGGTCTGCGTTTATCAATATAGCCGCGGCTATCCAGCCAATTGCAAGTGGCACCAAGAGACTCGCCATCCCGCCGAGGTATTTCCCAATCAGGATATGGTATTTCGACACTGGGTTTGATGCTACAAGTGCGAGTGTTCCGCTTTCACGTTCACCGCAGATGACATCGTAAGCGATCGAAATCACAAACAGACTGAACGCAATCTGCACCATGAGCACGGCATCAACAGCAGCGAAAACGTTGAGAAGCGGATTGCCACCGCCGAGTATTTTCGCCTCTGTGGGGACATCTTCGTAGGAAACTGTCACCGTGCTCCCTAACTGCCTCTCCATCCCTAAGCAGATAACACTTAAGGGTTCAGGCGGTTTTGCCACTTCCACCCTCAGGTACGAATAAACCTTCACTTCCTCAAGGGTATTCCGGTGTTCGATTTCTGCCGCATTGTGGACGCTGAGTCTCTTCTCGTAATCCTCCATCAGTACATAAGTACTGGAGACGAAAAGCGCAAAGCAGACGATTAACCCTATGAATAGGCGGAGGGAGAAAATGTTCTCTGTGAACTCTCTTCTGGCAATTACCCAAATGAGATACATCTAAAAGCCTCTGGTTGGTGTTAAGAAAAGTGAGGGGTTTGTATCAGGGGACGTAGCACTTGTAAATCCATGGAATATCCTTTAGAGTGTTTTTATACCAAAAACAAAGGAGCACCCCATGGACGCGATAGGTGAGATCAAATGCTGTTGTGGGAGGGAAACCTTGTAAGCCTGATGCCCTGCCAACGAATCTTGTTTGGTAAACCCCACGCCATGCCTCTACAGCCGAATTTTCTTGAATTCCTCAATCTGTGCCGTAATCGCGCGTTCCGTCGGGAGACGCTCCGCGCTTGACGCACCGTAGAACCCCACTACCCCCTCGGTATTTTCCAGCACGTACGTCGCATCTTCCGGTTCAGCAATAGGACCACCGTGGCAGATAACGAGAATCTCTGGGTTAACCCCTTTCGCGGCATCGTGGATGGCTTGCACCCGTTTGGCGGCATCCTCAAGCGTGAGAGCAGTGTGCGCACCGATAGAACCCTTCGTTGTCAATCCCATGTGTGCGACGAGAATATCCGCACCCGCATCCGCCATCTGCTCTGCTTCGGTTTCGTTGAATGCATACGGAGTCGTGAGCATTCCCATCTGATGTGCCGTCCGAATCATCTCCACCTCGGGTCCGTATCCCCATACCGGTCTCCTCAAGCAGTTGACGGAATGTGCCGTCAATCAGACCGACTGTCGGGAAGTTTTGCACACCGGAAAACCCGATCGCATCTATCTGACTCAAGAAGATATCCATCAAACGGAACGGATCCGTACCACATACCCCCGCAAGGACAGGTGTGTCTGGAACGACTGGTAGCACCTCGCTTGCCATCTCAACGACAATCTGGTTCGCGTCGCCGTAGGGCATCATACCGGCGAGTGAACCCCTACCCGCCATCCTAAATCTGCCGGAATTATAGATAATAATCAGGTCAATGCCACCGGCTGCCTCGCATTTCGCAGAGATACCCGTGCCAGCACCTGCCCCAATGATGGGTTTACCGCGTCAATGTTATTACGCAGTTGTGCTAAAATTTCTTCGCGTTTAAATTTCATGAATCGTTATCCCTTGTGTATGATGATTGAATGTAGTATACTACACGCATTATAGCAAAATATTAGATTTTGCGTAATACTTTTAACCTCCTCCATTTCACTGTTTTTTCATAAGGAAGTCCCTTTGAGGAGCAACGTTCATGAATCTGTATAGTAAACCCACAAGCTGCGTCCTGGTAGGTCTTTTTGTTTTATTCATAGGTGTCCTTTGCCCTCCTGTGGAGGCTTATATAGAAGGGCCTTGGCTATGGATGATTGCAAGTGGTGCAGATATAGATAGCGATCAGTTGGCTGTCGCAAGTAAAGGAAAAGTTACTGAAAACCTTGCCGCTAAGTATGGCGTAAACGAAGGGGATACCGTGGGGCAATTGCGATGGACACGCGGACGGATTCTCCCAGAGGTTGATTGCTTATTCTGGCAGTGGGGCTGCTATTCAGATAATGTCAACAGTGTTATCAACAGAATAGGACTAAACAACGACCAAGGGTTGAACTACCACTCTGCATACGCTTTGATTAACATCATCTCGCCGCGAGAACGAACAAACGTTGCAATGGGCGTTGGGAGCGACGACTCTGTCAAAGTTTGGCTCAATAGCAAAGTGGTCCACGTAAACAGTGTGGACAGACGCACAACTGGCATTCAAGACCTGTTCCGCGTCAACCTAAAAGCCGGAGACAACCTCCTACTGGTTAAGGTGAGCGATAATCTATGGAATTGGGGAATGTTCTTTGATATCTACCTTGAGGCAGGCGATTTTAGCACTGCTCTGCCTATTAAGACTTCGGATATTTCTCTCGCTGCCTACTTGTTTGAAAAATACAGCCCTACACTCCGAGATCCAGAGATTCAAAAAGTGCTCCCGACCGTCCTGTCCCAACTTCAAAAGCCGGAGGTCCAAGGACTTTTAACCCCTTTCACAATAAATGCCGTTGCTGAGAATCCAGACCTCTTAGGAGAGTTCGGTTTAAATGATGAAGCAGTCGCATTTATTAAAGGAAATGCTGGTGTCAGACGGATGCTCCGTGATCCAGACTTTCAAACCCTGCTCCAAAACCCTACTGCTTTATCCGAATTCGTGGCACTCGTTACCGGAGATGAACCTGCTCTACCTCCGGCACAAAGTCCTCCATCTGCGGATGTCGATGGGAACGGAGTCGTGGATATCCTGGATCTCGTACGCATTGCCACGCGTTTGGGGCGAACGGGTCCTGATCCTGCAGATGTTAACCGCGACGGAACGGTTAATATCCATGATATTGTCTTGGCTGCAGCCTTAATGGGTGCGGAGGCGGCCGCGCCCTCTGCTTACAGTGTTATAAAAACAAAACGCGGTAATCTGCCTCTACGACCTGAGGACATCCAACTTTGGTTGACTCATGCCCAACAACTTGACTTGCAGGATCCCACACTCAAAAGAGGGGTGATGGTGCTAAGGCATCTTATGGAGATGTTGACACCGAAAAAAACATATCTTCTACCCAACTACCCAAATCCGTTCAACCCGGAGACATGGCTCCCCTATCAGCTCGCCGAAGCGGCAGATGTTACGCTTACTATCTATGCCGCGGATGGTCGATTAATTCGGACGCTGGCATTCGGGCATCAGTCTGCAGGAATATATCAGGACAAAAGCCGTGCAGCGTATTGGGATGGGCAGAATGCGTTGGGAGAGTTTGTTGCGAGTGGCGTCTATTTCTATACGCTCAAGGCGGGAGAATTTACTGCAACGCGGAAGATGTTGATACGGAAATAAGTTTTCTCTATAGTGCTGCACTCTGATTCTAAGTTGAAATGGGCGGGTATGAGAACCCGCCCTACATTTTAACGTCTTGCATGCTGCGATTCTACAGGCGCACGGTATTCAACATCAAGATACGGTGTTTCTAAACGGATATGCCCTTGAAGTCGAGAGGTTAAACAACTTTCCAACGCACCGCTCACCAACAGCGTTCGTTCCGCTGGATAAGGTGAGATACCTGTTTCAAAAAGCTCCTCGATTTTGGCAATCAGACACGCAGAATAAGTGACGTTCGGCGTCGGTGTTAAGAAAAACTGCGTAGACACCGGCACCGGTTCATCCTTCACTTGTGCAGCAAAGCAGTAATCCCGCACTGCACCGTTGAGCATCAAAAGCGTTGCCTTCAATCCGTCGTTATATTCAATGAAATAGGCTGATGGGTTTTCGACGAGCCGTTGAAGCTCCTCGGTACCGATCAGATCTTGCGTCCTACCGTCTTCATCCGTTAAACCGCACGGTGTATCACTTCGCGAGAGTGCGGCTTCTAACAATTCCATAGACCAGCGTCCGTCTTTACCTGCTTGCCAGACAGCATCGCCATCAATGAGTTGCACCGCAGCGACCCCGGTTTCGCCACCCTTACGGCGTTCTATCATACATTGCATCGCCTCCAAGGCGTGATAATCCATCGGATCCGAGCCTCCAACGCCTACCATAAGTGCCTCTTCTATCTCGCATTCCAACGGCAATTCGACATCCGGCAATCGCCATGTGACCGGCAGCGACGAACCCGCAAGCACCCCAAAACCGAGACGATGTCCATCATCCACCATCTCCTTTGCCTTCTCGAAACTATAGGAGAGGTGTTTGTCGTTATAGATAGGCACGGCACGTCCATCTGCCTCGAAGACCTTGACGCATTCCTTGAAGAATTCATACCGCGGATATAGGACCTGGTTCATCTCATTGTGCGGATAATCGCCGTGCTCCCCGATGAGTAGCACAGCGTCAACAGCAATCTCATCACCACCGCATCGAAGTGCTTCGGCAATAGTAGGATAGACAGAGAAACCGAATTCTCTGGCACGGTCCAAACTCTGGTCACCTTCCGGCTTCTGATCGACGAACAGTGAGACGACTTTCATATCCGGACGATGCCATCTTCCCTCAGTCGGATAACCTACGAGAAATCGGTCGGCGAAGTGCTGCGCGTGCGATAGGTAACGGTAGATAGTAGCAATAACGGCAATCCTTTTTGTTCCCATAACCTCAGGTCCTCCAGAAGGTTGATGTCTCAGTGGGTTGATAGGCGATGTCTAAATGCGGTGTCTCTTGCTTCGCACCATCAGCAAAAATGCTGTCAACGCCTGCGACAACAAGTCCCGTCGTCAATAACGTACGTTCAACAGGATAGGTTGCTTCGCCTGTCAGGAACATTTTCTCAATATTGTTAACCAGCGGCGAGAAGAAGTTCGCCAACGTCGTCCGCGCGGGCGGCATCGGGAGATACATCTGTGTTGAAAGAATTTCGCTGCCCGCCCCGATATAAGCGGCAAAGTTGAAATCCTGGACTAATCCGTTCATCAGAATCATGGTAGATTTGAGTCCATCGTTGTGCCCATATTGATAGGCTATCGGGTCTTTCACGATCTCCTTCAACTCATCAAGATTTGGAAACGGGTTGTTAAACCCCTGACGTGATGGCGTGAGGGTATGACTGCGACAGAGGGCGGCTTCAAAGAGTTCCCGGGACCAGAGTTCGGTGTGATACGCTTCCCAGAACGCGTCGCCGCGATATGCTTGCAGCCATTTCACACCGCTCTCGCCGCCTTCGCGACGTTCTACCATACACTGCAAGGTTTCTAAGGCGTGGAAGTCGTAACTATCCACACCACCGTAGCCGACACATACCGCCTCGGAGACCGGTACACCGAGTGGCATGTCAATGGAAGGCGTGCGCCACGTAACTGGCAGGGACGAGCCTGCCATAAACGCGAAGCCCATAGATTGAGAAATATCGTACATCTCACGTGCCCACTCCCAGTTCCATGAGAGGTGCTTGTCGTTAAAGGTCGGCACACCGCGTCCGCTCTTTTCATAGACTTCAGCAATCTGCATGAAATGTTCATAGCGCGGATAGAGACGTTGTCCCTTTTCGTTGGCGGGATATTCGCCGTGTTCACCGATAATCAGGACACCGTCAACTGCGAGTTCCTCACCGCCGAGGGTGAGTGTCTCCGCAATTGTGGGATACCCCTTCATCGAAGGGAAACGCTCCAGACGTTCGCGGCTGAGGTCATTGTCTTTGACCTGTTCGACGAAGAGGGAAACGAGATCCATCGGTGGGATGATGATGTCGGCTGTTCCACCCGTAGCCTTCCAAGAATCGATCAACGATGTGCTGCGTGTGCGAGTATTTGTGATAAATCGTCGCAATCGCAGCGATTTTCGGGCGTTTTTCCATAATCAATTTCCTTTGAAGTCACTCCTACGGTGACGGTATTGTGGAATCGACATTTAGAGGTTTCTCAATGAGCACAACCGGTGCCTGACAACAATCGCAATTCCCCCGGTGCAACCGTACGGATGTAGCATGTGTCACAGTAGTAGTAGAGTTCATGCACAACGCCATCTTTGATAGAGTAAAATCGGATTATCTCCAGGAGTTGCGTTTTTGGAAAGACGCGACCGTTGATAAGCAGATCTTTCTCATGCAATTGCTCATCAACAAAGAGTGCCTCCGCTAACGACGTGCGCAGAAGGGTGTAGTATTTGCCATCTTCAGTCTTGACACCGTATAGATGTTCATGGGTCTTAAAGAGTTCTACGTTATAATGTGTGTGCATTTCTTCCGCTAAGCAGACAATTTTGCCTCGGATTTCTATCTCCTCCGGTTTCTGCTTTTCGACTGTAGGAGTAGCACCACTCATCAATAAGATCAGTAGAATAAAAAAAGGGGAAAACCATCGCAAGTTACGCATCACTCGCCTCCTCCTTTGCCCATCGATTTGGACCAGGACCGGGTTGATGTTCATCGCGAACGCGCTTAAATTCCTCAGGCGTGGTAACAACATCTTCAGGGTGCAACCGACTCCGCGCGAGAAAGCCTGCCTCCGGTTGATAGCCGGTCGATTTTGCCGCATCTTGATACCGGGAATCAACACTCCATCGGACTTGATGACTGACATTGGGAATAGAACGGTGCGGGGTCAGATTGGTAAGTAGAAGAACGCTGCCAAACTTGACGGGGACCACTACAGGTTCAACTTCAGGCAACGCATCCGGTGGTATCTCAAGATAGAAGCGTCCTGGAACACTCTGATGCCGGAAAACGCCATCCCGATGGGCATGCGGGATGACTTCCAAACATCCGTTCTCAACGGTAGCATCTATCAATGGAAGCCAGATCGTGAGTTGCAAGACTGAATCGCATTTAGGCTCCATATAGCCAGCGTCTTGATGCCAAGGGACGAGGGTCCGGTCGTGCTCAGGAAGCTTGGGACGAACTCGGTAGGCAGGGTGACACATAATCTCCGGTCCAACAAGTGCCTCGGCGATGTCAAGCAACTTCAGGTTGATGAGCAGATCGAAGAGTGCCGGTCCTGTGTGTGCACCGCTGAACAACTTCTGGAACACGACAGGGGATTGCGCCGTAATCTTTGCCAAACGGGTATCAAAACCCTCCGTTTTGAATTCGGAGTCAATTTCACCTTCAGTGTAGAGTTCTGATGCCCCCGTGTCAACGATTTCCTCAAACTCCGCGATGAGTGGGTTCAGGTCATCCGGAGCAAGAGCATCTTCAATCAGCAGATAGCCGTTTTCATTAAAATCGTGGATTTGGGAATCAGTCAATACTTTCATAACGCCTCTCATATAATGTAAATGCGAAATTTGACCGCGTATGGGTCAAATTTGGACCAATTCAACCAGAATGCCGTCCGGATCCTTCGCGCACGCAACGCCAACTGCGTCCGGTGCGCCTATAGGGGCAGACAGAAATTCAACACCATTCTGTTTTAAGCCTTCGACGGTTCCCTGAATATCTTCTACAAAAAAGGTAAGCCAACGGACACCTGCCGAGAATCCGTCTGCTGGTGTCAGCGGTGGCGATTCAATATCCATCAGTTTGATAAGTGTGTTACCGGCTTTAAGTCGGACCTGGCGAAAACCTGTCGGAGCAAGCCCTACGCTGCGTGCGAGGTCATCTGGAATCTCCAACTCCAGCACGATCTCAAGCCCTAACTTGTTGTGATAAAAGTCCAGCGACGCTGCAAAGTCGCTACAGGTAATAGCGATGTCGATAGTCGGATGAGATAAGTTTAGCACGGGTTTCTAACCTCCTGTGAGAACGAAGATTGCTTCTCGAAATTGACCGAGCGGACGCGTATCATAGATAATGTCTACTGGAACGACAATTCTCTTTCCTAAAGCATCGCGGCGCATCGGAATCGGAACGGAAAAATCGATGTGACCATCTGATCTCGCTGGAATCGTTGTTTCTCCTGGAGAAAGTTCGATATTCCACGCGCTCGGAAGAATCGGTCGGGCGATTGCTGTGCGTGGCTCAAATGAATGGTTCGTTATCTCCACGCGTAAGTGTGCCGTTTCCCCAAGCGCAACCTCCTGTTCATAAGGATAACAGCGGACCCAATGTTCGTCCATGCCGTAGTTCGCATGGTCCCAAGGAAAGAGTTCAGTATAACATTTTTCACGTTCGGCGAGTGTGTCCAGCATACACTGCATCTCGGCATCAGTAAAATCGAAGGCTGGATCGACATGGCAGTTAAAGATATGCGTCGGTTTGAGCTGGTGAATACGCCGCAGACATTTTTCGTAACCGACATCTTTGCCGAGCAAATTCCGATTGCCTGAACAATAGTCGTCTATTCCTGCCATCGTGAAGGAGTCACCTGCGAAGAACATCCGGACACCGTGTCCCCTCAACGAGCAACCCACCGTGATAATAGGTCTGACCCGGAAAGTGGTATGCTGTCATCGTGAACTCATTCCACTGCCAAGAATCCCCATCACGCGTGATGCGATCCACTCGAGTAACCGAAGGCGAAATACAGGGAAGCCGGAAACCGATCGGGTTTGTGATGACGCGTGCGACAACCGAATCCGTTATCGTTTCACAAGGGAAAGTTGTCTGAAATTCGGGGATAGCCTCAACATGGTCATCGTGGTAGTGTGTCACCCAAAACTGAGTGACCTCCGAAATTTCGCCGTCCGCTTGTAACTGCTGGATCTGTTTGATAACATTCGGTGAGCCGCAATCCATCACAAAAGCTTCATCGTTTTCGGAGATAATCATCCACGTTGTGCCAAAATGGCGTAGGAATTCGGGTGGCGGCTTGCCCTCTCGGATAGGCATGTGTCCAGCGCGTCCCTCAAATTCAGCAAAGAGTTTCGGAAAGTAGTGCCGGAGGGCGGAGATTGCGACGTATCTATCGTAACAGCGCGCCAACTGCTGTATTAGTGCGTCGATCGCCCTGTCTGGGTTGTCCATAACAACACCGTGCGTAGGAATGAGTGCCGTTGGTGATACACGGCGGACCTTCTCAAGACTCTCAATTAGTTCATCGCGTGCACCGAGAAATCCGTGATAGTCACTCGTCTGTTGCCCTTTTTGTAAACTATAAAGATCCCACAACTGCCCGTCATCATAAATGAGATCGCCGGAGAAGGCGAAACGCTCGCCATCAACATCAATGAGATAGGTGACGCTTCCATCGGTATGCCCTGGCGTTTCAAGCACTGTCAGCGATGCCGGACCCCACTCAAACTGCCCACCGTCGGAATACGTATCCATCACGGAGATAGCATTGGCGAGCATGAGATTGTGCGGATGGTAATTATAGAGGTGCCATCGATACTGAGGATCGTTCCAAAAGGTTTCAGGCTCGCTAAACCACGCTGTCTCTTTCGCTGGAACGCCGACGCGAACATTATCAGATATAGGGAAGCCCACCGCGCTATCGCGATGATGATGCGTAAATAGAATCTGCTCGACGTTGGCGATCTCGAGTTCCGCGAGTGTGGTATGGAGGAGAGTCCCACTCGGATCGATGAGGAGTGCGCGATCTCCATCACGAAGGATACCCGTGTTGACATGTCCGTGATGAACGTATAAGTGATGGCTGAGTTGGGAGAATCGGGTTTGCATTCTTTAAACGATTGCCTCCGAGCACTGCTCCACTACGTTTCGCAGTGGTTTTCGGTCAATTTCAAGCAATTCCTTCTTGAACCCCAGAGGGGTGAAATGTCTGTAGAGAAACAACGCCCATATTCAATAAATTAAAAAATAAAATCTCATACAAAAACTGCTGGTGAGATCTGAAACCTTTCCGCTAAGGTCCGAATGTGCGTGACCGTCAAATCCCGATCACCGTTGAGGATTTCCAAAACAGTGTCGGACGAACCGAGATTTGGCAGATCTTTTGGTTCAAGCTGGTGTTCTTCCATTAAGAACTTAAGTGCTTCAACACCACTACACTCAGGGACCGGGTAATGTTTCTCTTCATAAGCATGTATGACTGTACCGAGCGTATCAAGAAGCTCATAGAGTGGATGTTCTTCATCAGTTCCCACTTCATCAATCAGTGCGTTTAAAGTCTCAACGGCTTTATCGTATTCGTTCTCGTCACGAACGGAAAAAATAGGTTGAACAATACGCCAATGCGATTGAATATCTTGCGCTATAACGTTCATGTTTTCCATCCTCCTTTGTCATACTCTTCATGCGTCAACACACGGCGAACATAAACCTTGCCGCGATTGAAATGGATAGAGGCAACCAGTCGATATTTGTTACCACCGATATTAAACACAATCAGATCATCCACAATATCCGCGTTTGGAAACACCGCGCGTAATTCAGTAAAACTTCCGAATGAACTTTTAGAAATGAGTTTGAACCAACGCCTAAGCGGCATTTGGCTGTCAGAATATTTTCTCCAGAATTCGCGCAGTGCCTTCTTGCTAACAATGTGCATCCCTTTCCTAAGACTACGCCTCTGCGAACTGTGGTCTGCCGAGGGCATCTGTTCTGCCTTGGCGTTTGTAGTGCGGGAGACGCCCGCCTGCATCTGCCAAAATACGTTCTTGTGCAAGCGCAATTCGGTCAGCCCCCTTGTCAGCGATGTCATGCTGGCAGGCGACATCTGCTTCAAGGTCAAACAGCCGTATACCTTCCTTAAAATCGACACTGGAAAAATACCAACTCCTTGCATCTTTATACCAAACAGAGTTGACATAGCGACAGGTCAGATATTCACGCGACGTAAAACCGCTTTCCCCTTCAACGATCGGAAGTAAACTCTGTCCTTGAATCTCACCAGCAGGTTCAACTTGGCTGGCTGCCATAACGGTAGCAGGCACATCAAGGGTATAGACGAATTCATCACACGTCGTGCCGGCGTTAACGCCTGACGGATGGCTAACCATTAAAGGGATGTCCATCGTGCCGGGGTACATAAAGTTCGCCGGTTTACCGGTGGCTTTGTCTGGGTTCTCCGCAAAATTGGTGCCGTGGTCGCTGAGGAAAATGATGAGCGTGTTCTCACGTAGTCCAAGCCGATCAATCGTATCCACCAACCTTCCGAACCATGTATCTACAAGCGTTACCAAGCCAGCGTAGTTGGCTTTAACGCTCGGCAACCGTTCCTCAAGTTCCTCATCGTTGAGTGAACCGTAGGGGAGGTTGAGACAGACAGGTTCGCGGTCTTCGCGCTTACCGTAGAGATCATAGTAGTGAATGGGTGCTTCCCATGTTTCGTGGGGTGTGAAACTATCTACATAGAGATAAAACGGAGTATTCTGATGATTGTGTTCGACGAACTCAATTGCGGAACGGAACAACCGAGCGGCGGGCCACATCTCCTCTGGACGTTCAGGTTGGACGTTCACAATATGGGCACGGACACGTTCGGGATTTCCCCGATAACGGGAAATTAGAGTAGGATCGGCGTGCGCACCACCCCGGTACCTATCTTCGGCTTGACCGCGCACAAATTCCCACTGCCGGAACCCACGCGTGAAATTCATGCCCGGCACAAAATAGTGCGGCACATCGGCGAAGAAGCCGGTATGATACCCATTTTGCACAAGCGATTCAGCAATTGCGGGTTCATCGGAAGACATGGGCTGCCAGCCGGGAGTATAGACGTTGTCCCACGGCACAGGGGTATAAGTGCTGAATGGATAGGCGCGTCTGCCGGTATGTAAGGTTCGGCGCGTCGGGATTGTTGGTAAGCATTCCGGGTGCGCGTTCGTAAATCTGACGCTCTGTTCGGCAAACCGAGCCAAATTCGGTGTCCGAATCCAATCGTTGCCATAGGGATTGAGATATGCGGTTCGCAGTGTATCTGAAACAACGACGACTATGTTCCAACTCATTTTTTTAATTTTCCTTGCGGTTCGGTTAGGTGAGTTCTGGTTAATTAGTTCTTTTCCGTATATCCGCTTTCCACTACGTTCCAAGCTACACGCTTTGGTTGTTGGTAGGAGCGGAATAATCGAAAACAAGGACATCCTCAACAAGTGGACGGATGTGTTCGCCCGCGACTTGACGGTGAAAAGGATGTGGTAGATATGCGTCGCGTGCCGCTTCGTCTGTAAAACGCACTATAAAACCGTACGCGTATCCTTGACTTTTGCCTTCAGGACTATTGTTCGTACCAGCAGTTATAGATTCAATGCCGGGAATTTCATCAGCCATTCCCAAGAGAACATCAGACAAAGTTTCCAACTGCGCCGCGGTAACATCCGATTTTAACTTCAGTAGGACGATGTGTTCAACCATTTTTTAACTATGGCCTCCTGGGCTGCCCTCCTTGCGCAAGCCTATAGAGGCTTGCGGGACAATGTTTCGGGCAGGTCTTCGGTTAATTAGCGGCCGGGCTTGTACATTTTAAGTCTAAAGAAAAGAACTTCAAAAACGGGATGATTCCTTCCCGGATCCGCGAAAATTTGGTTTGCTAAATTAAAAGAAATTGTTATATAATCTAAGTAAGTATGACACAAACGTCATTTTTTTTCAAGTCTCCACGAGACTCGCAAACGAAATGAAAAAGGAGTATCGAAAATGAAATTGGTTTATGTTTGTATTGCCGCACTATGTATCGCAGTTGCGTTAACTGCTTTCGCTGATCAGGTGGAAGTCACAGAGATAAAGGACAATAAGAACGGTATCTATCAAGCTGTTGAGTTGGAAGAGGGTGGAAAATTTTTCCACGATAGGGCCTATACGATTACGAATATCCCGAAAGAATTTCGTGGATTAACGCAAGTTTCCACGTCAGCAGACTGTCCCGGCGGACAGGACTACCGACTCACGTTTGAAATCGACCGGTCAGCTTATGTCTACCAAGCATGGGATAGCCGACATACAGCTCCAGAAGACCGCGGGCAGGATCCGAAAGGCTGGTTTACAACGGGATATACGGATACTGAAGAAACCCTCATGTTGGATGCCCCACACGCCCCAACCGAGTATTTTATCTACAAATCCAATGAACCGTATCCGAAAGGGACAGTAGAGTTGCTCGGTATTGATGAGGTTATCGGAGATCCAGTCATCATGTGGACGATCTTTGTTGAAGAAGGTGTGCTTCCCGTTGACCCAACTGGAAACCTAACGACAACGTGGGGCGAAATCAAATCGGATCAGTAGCGTTATTGTTTAACCGAATTCTACCACAAGCGGGCTTCTCAGCCCGCTTTCTCTTTGCTACTTCTTCAACGCAGACAACAGACTGCTAATAGATAATACACGCTCCACCCGCACAGACGCTCCCTGTTTTCTGCGTCACATCACCCGCAACACTGTCCGCCTCGCCTGCTTCAAACTCGGCAACGATCGACATCGTTTTCTCTACCGGGTCGGACAGACTGAGCTGGAGGGTATCACTCTGCGTGAAAGTCACGGTGCATCCTGTCATCTGAAAAAGGGCGACCGCGATGCAGAAGAGAAGGAAAATGGCTTTCGGTTGTCGACTCTCGGCTTTCAGGAAAGAGGTTTGCTGGTGTAGTGATACCCTCTTGCTGATCGCTGACGGCTGATCGACGCAAGCCTCTATAGGCTTGCGGGACAATGCTATAAAAATGTGTTTCATTGTTAAACCTCAACTCTCTGAAGGTCGGCTTGGTCAAGTGTATTTGTGCCTAAACCGAGCGCACTCGCCGTGTTGATATGGTTCGCTAACTTAGACACAGAACCCAACTCCATCTCTTCGCGCTTCTGGTTGATAGTCTGAAGGACAAGGACATCAAGAATAACCGGATCTGCACCGACAAAGAGACTGCCGTATTTCCACGCGCTTTCGGCGTGATATGTGGGTCCCCGGTCAAACGATGCAACCAACCCATCAACGATATTGAGCGCAAGTTTATCTTTCAGGACCCTATGCTCCAGAATCTCAGCGATAGCCGGGTTGCAATAGAGCGGTTTCGCATGGAACCGGCGTGTGTTATCAACACTGCCAAACGCGAGGTTCTTTAGACACCCGCTGACCCCCGCCATCTCATGGTGCTTCAAGACGGGAACATTAATCAATACATCAACTTGCTGTGTGACGATTTGGGAATACCGAGAGCGGGTACTTTCGTTCTCCCTGCGGTTAACACTGTCTTTTCCGCTTTCATAAAACACTTCGTCATCATACCCAATACCCTCTGTGTCAGAGGCAATAGTCTGCACTTCGCCTTCATCTTGCTTGATAGGATACCCAGCGTTTAAGAGATGGCTTTCAAACCGGTCCCAGATAATAATTTGTTTTTTGAGGACACCCGCGCCGTATAACCCCTCAACGATCTTATCAACGATGATAGGATGTGTGCTGAGTTCCGGTCCGCCAAGTGGGTTGATTTTTATACCGACGATATCATCAGGCAGGACAATATCTCGCCACGCCTCTTTCGCGGAAGCACGTCCAGTGAACTTCATCATCGCCTGATCGATCAGTTCACTGACAGCATCTTCATCGAGCCGATCACCATCCCAGACGTTTTCACTGACAGCCTCAACGACAGGTGTAAGGGGTGTTGTTGTCGTGGTATCGGGCTGTAACTGCCCACTACTCAGCTGCGCGAACGCCGGAAGTGCGCCTAATGCACCACCGATCCCGCCAACACCAGTAGCAAGCCGGGTTAAGAATTGTCGGCGGTCAAGCGCATCTCGGTGCTGCGCAACTTCCTGACTGTCAGCAATAATGTCTGCTATAACGGTGTCGTAAGGTTTCATCAGAGTTTACCCAATTCCGTGAGAATTTGCGCCGTCGGAACACGTACCGCTACACCATTAAGAGACTTCCAAGCGATTGTTCCATCCTTGCGAAGAACAAAGGATGCAGGACGTGCTATCCTGTCGTTACCGGGATCCAAGACATTGTAAGCCTTGATTACCTCTCTGTCCTTATCAGCGAGTACAGGGAATTCAAGTCCACTACCTTGGACTGTCTTTTTGGTATCGCCTTCATCATCGGAACTGATAGCGATGAGTTCCGCACCCGCCGCCCGAACTTTAGCATAGTTTTTTTGCAACTCTCCGAGTTGCCCTCTGCAGAACGGTCACCAACCGCCACGGTAAAATGTAATCACTACATTCTTGTTGCCGACATAATCAGCGAGTGCTTTCAACTTGCCGTTGCCATCCGGTAATTCAAAGGCGGGTGCCTGGCTCCCGAGACTCAAGCCTTGACCCGGATCCAACTTCTCCTGTTCTGGTAGCCGAGTGAGTTGAACCCGTAACTCCAATGTCTCCGCCGCGGGTATCGGATGTACAGCAACTTCGGTCTCTTCGTAACCCGCGTGAGCAATTGTCAAGGTTAAAGCTTGCTCCACAGGGAGGTTTTCAAAGGTGAAAACACCTGCCCCTGTTGTTAACGTTTCGTAAACTTTTCCTGCTTTATCAGTAAGCTGGAGGTTGACTTCACCGATCGGTTCACCCGTCGCTTTATCCCTTAAAACACCGCGGAGATGCGAGACAGGAGTCGCCAATGCCACAAGTGCCACCTTATCCAGCGAAACAACTTGCCCAGGGGTGACAGTGACATTCACCTCCTTGGTTTCATAGCCCTTCGCTGATATTTGAAGTGTGTAGTTTCCAGCTTCAATTGATGCGAGTTCGTAGGTCGCCTGTGTCTCAGTTTGCGTTAAGAGTTGTCCATCTCTAAGTAAGCGCACCTGAATTAATACACCGTCAATAGATTGCACCTCTCCACGCAGCGTGCCTGTTGATATCTCAACTGTGGAAGTGCCTACCGTTTCCTCAACGGGATTCTCTGTTCCGCAATTCAATCCTGCGAACAGCAAGAGTGATAAAGCGAGCAATGCCTGTATCCGTTTCATGGTTTTTCCTCTATTTGCCTATCTGCTGTTTAATTCTACCCCATGTCGTTGTTAGTTTGTTCACGGGTTCGACTGCGGCGGCAGTTTCAATACCGTCGTCCATAAGAGCCTTTATATCCTCTTCTTCCAAAGCAACATTGAAGAGAGCAACATCGTCAATAATGCCCGTAGTATATCGGTCATAGTGCCGCCCAATATGAAATACACCTTCACCGGTGCCGTATCCGTCTTTTTGGTTGAAATCGGCTTCGGTTTCCATCTTGCCATCTATCCATATCGAAGATTTACCAGTACTTGCGTCGGCTCTGCCGACGACAAAGTGCCATTTGTCGTCTCCAATTTCGGTGGTGCCGCCTGCTTGGAAACTTGCTGACGCACTGTCGCGCAGGTAGAGGGTCACCTTGTTATCGGCGCCTCCGTTCCAGAGCAGGTACCACGGGAGCACCTGTGATGTATCCTCGTAGTTTTTGCCAACAAGCGCGCCAGCGACCTTAGTGCCTTTGAAATGGAGTGTGATCGTGAACGAGACACCCGCCTTAAACCCGACAGTGTTTGAGTGTGGAACTTCAACCCAGTTGTTGGCACCATCAAATTCAAGTGCCTTTCCGAATTTACCATCTACCCATTTCGCGCCATGGATTTCACCATCGTTTCCCTGTTCCGAGGAATCGGTAGCGACACCGCCCTTTCCTTCGTCAAAAAGCCACATTCCCATAATATTCTCGGGATCAATGTCAGCGAAACTGGGCAATGCTACCAAGAAAAAGATCGCCATAAAACTCACGAAACCTACTCGCACATTCTTAAATAAAAACATTACAGTTCCTCCTTAAAATATCCGTCAGCCCACAATAACAGATAAGCAATTTCTATGCCATCCGATTTTCTGCCTCAAGGGTGAGCTTTCGCCCGAAATGGGGCAATTCTCGTCTCAGCGCGCACAAAAAGGGGCAATTGCAAGTGGCTGAAATACCAAACACAGGCTCTAATCCTTATAGTATACCACCTATAGAGGGTTTCTGTCAAATTGAAGGGACAGGTCTATTTAAAACTCCATGTGTTAGGCTCCATTATGAATACCCTTGATTGACAAAGGCATGACCTTTCGGTAAAATAGTCTGTGCTTTACCACGCTACTAAGACCTTAAGGAGGCAGACGGACGAAAAACGCGAATCACTTCCTTTATTTCACTATTAGACTCTCTGCATACCTTCTGGTAATGCTAATTTTGTTGCTGAATGGATCGGTTAACGCGGCGTTCGAGAATATTGAACTCATGGCGGGACCCGCAGGGATGGGTGGCGCGTACTCTGCAGTGACACAGGATACCAGCGCACTGATATGGAATCCGGCAGGTTTGGCACGATTACCTGCCCCTGAAATCGGTATCAGTTACATGGACTTGCACGGTGTGTTAGGTTACAGTTTCATCGGAGTAGCACACCCAATTCGGAGCGGACAAACCGCCGGCGCAGCAATCCTGAATTCGAGCGATGTAGAAGGCATCTCTCAAGAACGGATTGTGCTGTTGTCTGCCGCAACCCGTGTATGGAGGCGGTTACATATCGGTATTAATGCCAAATATTTTAGCACTTCGGTCAATCTGGAACAGATGCCTTTAGGGCGCGGGGCAGGATGGGGTACCGATCTCGGCATCCAGTACGACCTCATGACGGACAGCGTTAGTATTGGTATAGTATTCCCGAATCTGTTCTCAAATCTGTCTTATCGCCGACTTAAAGAGACGACTTCCAAGAGCACCTACAACGAGTCGCTTCTGCGTGAATGGCGTATCGGTTCTGCTGTAAAAATTAACTTGAGTTCAGATACACCAGACAGAAAACCGGATGTGCTGTTAGCGGCTTTTGAGATAGCCAACGGTGTGCCGCGTATCGGAGGTGAGTACCGGTACGCTGAATTCGCGCTTCGGTTGGGATGGCGTTTCAGCGATGGACCCACCGTTGGATTCGGCTATCAGCGCGGCAACATCGGGTTAGACTACGCCTTCGTGAATGAGAGATACGGCTCGCAGACCTCGCTATTTTCAGTCCGGCTCTTCTACTAAAACGACTTGACATTTCCTGAAATCCTGTGTAACCTGTTAAACACAAGACCTACCATCGCGAAAGATGGTCAGTACAGGAAGACTGCAACTTGCTGAATACATATAGCGATTGGTATCTGAACAAGAGTGCCAAAAGAACTGGAATTCGACAGTGAAGCGAGGGTTTCAATTCCTTCGCCTTATAGCATACTTCACACCAACAACAGATACGGATCTTGAATATAGTTAGAAACTGTTTGTAGGAACTGTGCTGCCGGTGCTCCATCTACAACACGATGGTCAAACGTCAAGCTGAGTGTCAGCATGCTACGGATAACAATCTCATCGTCGTGAACAACCGGCTTCTTCAGAATTCGTCCCACCCCAAGAATAGCACTTTCCGGCGGATTGATAATAGGTGTGAACGCGTCAATCCCGAAATTTCCGAGATTTGTAATGGTAAAGGTACCGCCTTGAAGTTCACCCGGGTGTCAATTGATTACTGCGTGCCCGCTCTGCAAAATCTCTTACCTGTACAGAAATTTCCGATAACCTCTCCTTGTCCGCATTCCGTATTACCGGCACTACCAGTCCATCGTCGAGTGCGACAGCAACACCGACGTTAATTTCTGGTAATAGGTGAATCCCTTCATCCGTGAGTGTTGCGTTGAGTCGGGGATGTTCCCGCAAAGCGTTTGCTACGACTTTAACGAGCAGGTCGGTATAGGTGAGACTCACCTCTCTCGCCTGCAGCTTATCGTTGAGCATCCGACGTAGTTCGACGAAAGCCGTTGCGTCAACCTCTGTGTGGAGTGTGACGCTGGCGTTGGTTTGAAGACTCATGGTCATCCGCTCTGCGATAATTTCACGGATGCCACCCATAGGAATAACTTCTGTCGCTTGTTGGAGAACAGGTGTCTCTATAACGGGGGCTTCAGCGGCGGCTGCGCTCGCTTGTAACACATCGTCACGGACAACTCTGCTATCGGGTCCCGAACCGATAATTGCGCTCAGGTCAACTCCGTGTTCTTTCGCCAATCGCCGTGCAAGTGGTGATGCCTTAAGTCGTGTCGTTTCTTCAATTGGAGCCGGTCCCCTCAAGTCAATATATCGCTGGATATCGCTTTCAAGGATGCGTCCCCCGGGTCCAGAGGCTTTGACCTCGGTCAGATCAATAGCGAGTTTCTCAGCAAGTTGGCGTGCCGCTGGCGAGGCTTTTGGTGCAACGGTCGTAGTCGATGGCGTTGCCTTCGGTTGTGCAGGTTGCACTGACACTTGCGGTTCTGGCGTGGTGCCCACCTCAACGCGTGCCACTTCCTCTCCGGGTGCCCCGATAATCGCTAACAGGGCATTGACAGGGACATTGGCACCTTCCTCAGCAAGCAATTGCGCGATGACACCATCAGTGGGGGATTCCTGCTCATGGACGACCTTATCGGTTTCAATTTCCAGCAAGGGTTGCCCTTGTGTGACGGTATCGCCCTCCTTAACCAACCATTTTCCGATTTTCCCCTTGGTCATCGTCTGATCCATCTGAAGCATTCTTAATTCAACTGCCATTTTTTAAATTTTCCTTTTTTTAATTATGGGCATCTGAGCATCGTTCCACGCAGGCGGAAGAAAATGAAAATGTTTACATTTTCATTTCTGTCTCCTGACGGGTGTCTGGTGAATTCCGACGCGACTGAGGAGACGCACGACTCTTAAGAAGGTAGGAGAACCCAAGACCTACCCCTACTACCGCTCATAATTCAGAGACGGTTAGACTTAACCGCAAACCACCGTGAAACGTAGCGAAACGGTGACCAGATTTAATCGTTAAAAAAGCGGTTATGAATGTGCCTCGATTAACTCAATCAACAACTCAACATTCGCATCCTTTTCCAGAATAAGTGCAAATTTATGGTACTCGTCGCCCCTGAAAATCGCCTGAATAAATGGACTAAACGCGATTAAGAGTTGACTTCCCAAAAAGTTAAGCGGCTTGCCGGTCTCTAAAAAGAGAATTGCCGGCGTGCTTAAACCACGCCGTACAATCCACGTCGCGACCTTCTCAAGCAGGGCGCGTTGCTCGGATTCAGGAATATCTTCAAGGACACGTGGTATTTCGGGATTTGGATTGAACACAGTTTTCTAATTATGGGGCCTTCTTTCATCGTTCCACTTCGTTTCACGCAGGAAGCAGAAATGAAAAAAAGTAAACTTTTTTCATTATTTGTTTCCTGACAGGTTTTTTCTAAGAACCGCACGCTAAAAAGTACTTGTGCGTCCTTGGCGAAAACCTGTGCGAAATGTAATGGAGCACAGCGCGAAGGTCCATCATTTAAATTTCCAAGTCACTCAGGTAATCAGCGATCTGTTTGGCTTGTCCATCAAGGGTTGTCTCCATCGCGGCGATGACAAGCACAAAACTTTTGATATTGTCCTCAATCCGCGTATCAGAAGGTTCACCACCATCGAGCCAATTCAGGAATTCATCAAAGAGATGCTGATGCGCTTGATAGGGGATTGCCGGTGCCTCGTAGACTTCGGCTTCCCCACCGACGCGGTGGATAGTCATCTGGTTGCCGCCTGCGATTTCCACAGCACCTTCCTCAAATTCAGCGCGGTAGTGTTCACGGTTCCAACAGTTGACGATGCCAGCCGATGAACTGTTGCCTTCATAAGAGGTATGGACACCGTTATCCATCCGCATCACATAGAAACCGCTGGAGTAATGCTGGAAACTCGACCATTCGGGATTCCATCCAAACCCGATCAAAGTCTCACAATCACCACCTGAAAGGAACCGAAGCATGTCAAGATGATGGACAGAGCCTTCAAAAAGAAGCCCGAAATCCATATCGTGTCGCCACGCTTTGCCCCATGAGAGATAACGACGATAATCGCACGCATATCTCCCGACAATGTGTTGAAGCCGTCCCAATCTACCTTCATCGCGGATACGAATCAATTCCTGTTTATTATCTGCATAACGATAATTTTGGATAATAGCACACGGTAGTCCTGTTTTTTGGGCGGTACTCACCATCGCTTTTGCTGCGTCTAAGGTGTCCGCAATCGGTTTTTCACAGATAACAGGCATCCCATTTTCCATAGCAGCAATCGCGGCAGGGCTATGGAATTGCGGTGGAACAGCAATGCCACAGAAGTCAGCCTTGACTTCGGCACACGCCTCGTTAAAGTCTGTAAAGAGTTGTGAAGTGCCGAGCCCCAACGCCTCGCCCTGTGCCGCGAGGACATCTGTACTCACATCCGCTAAACCAACGATTTCGATCTGGTCGCTGAAATTATTCGTAAAATTGTTAATCCAGCCACCAGCCATACCACTTCCACCAATCATTAAACATGTTCGTTTTGCCATTTTTTAAATTTACCTTGCGGTTTAGTGAAGTGGGTTTGGACGTTGATGTGCCTCTTCGTAGAGTCGCCTTCCACTTCGTTTCAGGCTTGGTGTTTTGGATCTCGGTGTCCTAACGACCCGTTTCGTATACCCAATCCAGCCCGTTGGTTAAGTTTAAGGGCGCTATACAACGCCTAATTTTTAGGTTATAATAAAAATAAAAGATCCTTGTTTCCGAGGGTATTCCTACGAAGTAGATTTTTGCATCAGTTTACCACGTAAGACGTAATCGTCCTTGCCACGTCGGACGCGTTCAAGTTCCGCCTCGGTAGCCTCACGCCGCACTTTTGCTGGGACTCCCATTGCAACGGCACCCGGTGGGATTTCCTGTCCTTCACGGACAAGCGTCCCAGCTGCGACAACGGCATTTTCGCCAATCACCGAACCTGTTAGGAGAATCGCCCCCATACCGATCAGAGCACCGTCTCCAATAGTGCAACTATGGAGGATAGCACCGTGTCCGATCGTAACGTCATCACCGATGAGACACGGAATCTCTTTGTCCATGTGTATCACTGCACCGTCCTGAACGTTGGTGCGACATCCGATTCGGATCGGTTCTAAATCTCCCGCGGAGCACGCTGTTAAACCAGATGCTCGATTCTTCCCCAATCGTTACATCGCCAATAATCATCGCCCCTGGAGCGACGAAAACAGAGGGATGCACATTTGGTGTTATGCCCTCGTATTGTATTAACATTTTTCCTTCTTTCTTTTTGTCGTAGGGGTTGGGAATGTAATACAAGGAATGGATTTAGTCTATTTAAAGACTAAATCCCCCAACCCGTAAGGGACAGACAACCTATAGGGGCTGGGAAACCCAGCCCCTACGGCAAAGGAGGCTGCGTTCGTTCCATCTATTTCAAAATTAACATCCGCCGCGTCGCAGTAAACGCGCCTGTTGTCAATGTATAAAAATAGACCCCGCTTGCCACAGGCTCCCCGAGGGCGTTCCTACCATCCCAATACACTGCCCGGCTTCGGTACTGATACAGCCCCGCCAGTTGATACCCTATCGCCAGGGTCCGTATCAACTTCCCATCAATAGAATAGATGTGCAACGTGACATCGGCGTGTTCAGCCAACTGATACGGTATCCACGTCTCTGGGTTAAAGGGGTTCGGATAGTTGGCGAACAACGCCGTTTTCACTGGAATGAACAAGGCTAACAGTTGTTCAAGTTTCACGATGCCGCGTTGGAAGGTAAGCGACCCATCGTCTGCTGCGCGCAAGATGTCCAATGCCTGCATAACCGTTTCAGGCGTGAGATCGGCAGTCCCAATACTATAAGGTGCAGCTGGTGCGTCCCCCTCACCCAGGTGTTCGGCAACGAGGGCTGCATCTTTTCCATCCACAACGCCGTCGCCATTGACATCGGTGCGCGGGTTCTCTAGTGGTTTCTGTCCCAACGCGATCGTCACCAAGAGTAAATCCCCGGCATCCGTTACACCGTCCTCATTGACATCCCATGCAGGTCTCGCGACGCGTCCCTCCACAACGATGACAAGTTCCGGGGGTGTCGTCGGAATCGCCTCACCCGTGTGAGTCCCGGCTTGAAAGTTCCGGAGTCGCAATCGGCTTTTCCCTGCCGCCTTTGCTGTGAATGACACCGAGAGCAGCATGCCTTCTCCGTTGACCCCGCCTTCAGAGAGCCGCGCCGTTTTCACCCCTATGATTTCACCGAGTTGGTTGTTAATCGTGCCGTTCTGAAAGAACGTGCCTCCACCGTTCTGCTTCAGGAAATCGCCCTCTGTGACGCGATTTGCTTTCAGTACTGCCGGATTGAATGTCACATCGCCCTTGCCAGCCCGCGAAATCTGAAACCTTTTCAGCGTGGAGTCGGATCGTAAATGCATCACCGACCTGAACCTGCGGTGTCTCGGTGGATAAAGTGAATCCGGTACCGGTGGGTAGCACGGTATAGTCGGCATCTGGCGCGAACCCGAAATGCCCTGCCCATCCCCATCCCCACGTGTGAATGGCAACCAATAACACATTTTTGCCTTGTTTGAGTGTGACAGGAAAAAATGTTTGGTAGTCATAATGCCATTCTTCATTCTCGTTTACCAACTTCCCGTTGAGCCAGATCTTGTGATCATCATCGCTGCCAGCAAACATCGTTGTCCTCTGTTCTCGTGGTGAATCCAATGTAACAACACCATACGCCAGACGGCGATCCGCACCTTCGTTTATTTCAAAACCAACGGAGGTCCACATTTTCCTGATGTTATCCCCACCTTCGAGATCAATTTTCTGGGATATCCATTTGCTATTTCCAACGGACGCACCTTCCGTTACGCCATGGGTCGGTACGGCAAGTTCTGTGACTTTCCCACCACTCGTTTGTGCCAACAAATCTCTGCCTTCGAGGAAACCGTCGGGTGGAACCATCACCCACAACCACGGACCCGCTATTTTTGGGCCGCCTTGGGGGAATCCAGGATTATTAGCAAACGCTATATTTGTCTCCTCAGGTAACTTTTCTAAAGGCGAAAAGTCGGTGATGGCGTTGTTCTGCAGATTCAGCCGTTCCAAGTTGTGCAACCCCGCAAGCGGTGAGACATCGGAGATGATGTTGTTATTGAGGTTCAGATGCGTCAATGCTCTTAGGGATTTCAACGGTGATACATCCGAGATCAAGTTATCCACTAATGTTAACGATGCCAGTTGCGTTAACGCCGCCAGCCCGGAAATGTCTGAGATTCCGCAATTATTGATTTCCAACCGTCTCAAACTTTTCAATCCCTTAAAAGACGAAAGGCTCGATAGCGACCTATTATTGCTAATTTCTAACCATCTGAGTCGTGGGTATGCTTGCCAAAGGCGAGAAGTCGGTGATAGGCGTGTTCCATGCGCGTATCCCTTCCAAACTCAGCAATCCCGAAAGCGGTGAGACATCCGATACCGGATTTCCCTCAATGCCGAGCCCGTTCAGTTTTATGAGTCCCTTCAGGGTGATAAATCCGTGATCGCGTTCTCCTCAAGACCGAGCCAATCGACGTTGATTAAGCCCGCGAGGGGGGATACGTCGGTTATTCTGTTGCCTCGCAGCTTGATGTTATTGAGTCGGGTTAATCCTGCCAACGGGGTGAGATCGGCAATCTCGTTGCGGCGCAATTCTATCCGTTCCAATCGCGTCGCATGCTCAAGACCTCGCAGATCGCGGATGCCTTTCTCATCAGCGACAAGCGTCGTCAACCTCTCGGCGAGTGTCCTCCGTCGTAATCGAGGCGGGTGTTTGCCGAGCCTTTCTGCAATCGCAGCGCGCAGGTTCTCGTCAGGAATTAGATGCCAAAAACAGTGTCTGGGTCGCGTCTGCGTTATCGTATCCTCCGGTGCCAACAATCATCACCATAACACACGCAACCAACTCCGAGAAGTTAGACTCCCACACATCCCGCTTCACGTTCCCACCACTCAGCAACCCCGCTAACCCTAAGTTCTGTAAACTCGGCTCCGACCGAACCTTTGCAAGGAACGACTCCGTCTCCATCCCGATAGCCGTCGCAGCGTGTGCCGCATCCAGGGGTCCTTGAAACGCCTCGTGGAAAAGATGCACCGGCTCAATACCCCCAGAAACACCACCCGTCTTTTCCACTGCTTCCTCGTAACGCGCACTATCCTGAACCACAAGGTCATCCATCACAGTTTTTTCCACATACAGGCGTAACGCTTGCTCTTTGTCGTAAGACGGACGCGCCGTTTGCAAAATCGCCGCCCGCACACCATCTTCAAACGTCTTCATCCCCTCCGTGTGGCAACCGATACACGACAGACCGTTACGCACGGCAGGATCGTTCGCCGCTGGATTCGACACGATCGCCGTCGGCGCAACATCTATCCGATTCCCTTGGCCATCCGCAATATAATACGCCTGCAAACCGTTCGGTAAGTTGAAGATCACCTCACCCCCATCGCGCTCGAAAGATAACGGGTGCGTGAAGATATTCTGTGCCTCCGCACTCCCCGCAAAATCGTGGCTCTTCCAATACGCGCCATACCGAAACGTGTGCCGTTCCACAACGCGATTGTGATTCGAGACACCCGAATCGTTCGTCCCCGCACGCCAGACGCTGATACCCGGGGCACGCTGCAGATTCCGAGCCACATCTATACCGAGATCCCGCTCCAACTCTCGCTCCGTCTCCGGCAATCCCAGAATGTCGTGATACAACGGCGGTAACGACGCTGTCGCCAGAAACCAATCCGCTTGCACAAACGGCACTTCAGACACCGTTCCTTGCTGAAGTCCCACGAGTTTTCGCTGCAGATCCGCGTGGATCGTCGCATCGAAGTCAATCCGATACGGATAGGCATCCTCAATCTGTGTCCATGCCGCTCGGAGATCCCATTCATAATCGCGGAGATCAATGTAGAAGATCGTCCGTTGGGGGTCAATCGGTTCCGGATTGATAATTGTGAACCCCCAAGAGAGGCTGTTGACTAACTTCGAGAGCGCCACCTCAGCCGCACGCAGCGTCTCGGGCCCCTCACCGGCGTTATAGAGATGCGTGGTCGTGAAATACCGGGCGTAAGGTCGGTTAAAAGCATCCAGGTCGCTAAAGTGTTCTTGAATAGCCGTCAGCATAGCATCGGTCGTGATGAAGGAGGCATCGTGCTGGATATCCCAACTCGGTGCGCCTGCGAGAATCCAGTTCCCGATGGTCAGGATCGCCTCTGGAGAAAGCCGCGGTTGATTCAGGGGCATCCGTCTTGCGTCATCTTCTTCAAGAAGCCGTGTATAGAGTTCAGATACGATGGGCGCGCCTGGGACAACGGCACCTGACTGAATCAGTCCTGCTGCGGAGTCGATAACGAGGGCTTCTTTAAAAGGGCCATGCTCACCGTGGCACCCGAGACAACTCTGTTGAAAAATCGCATACGCTTGTTGCGCGGTGTTTTGTTGGGCACCCGCTGAAGACCGAGGACGATAGATGTTAAAAGAACAAAGACAAAGTATCTGATAGGTTTCATGGTTAACTTCCTTTATTTTCGGATAAGCATTTTACCTGTTCCTGTGAAATCGCCTGCGGTGAGCGTATAGAAATAGACACCGCTGGCAACAGGTTCACCCACTTCATTTCTGCCGTCCCAATACGCAGCACGGCTTTTGTCTTCATACATGCCTGAAGGCTGGTGTCCGACTATCAACTTTCGCACCAATTTCCCATCGGTAGAATAGATAGAAATACTAACATCTGTAGACGCTGCCAACTGATACGGTATCCACGTCTCCGGGTTGAATGGATTGGGGTAATTTGCGAGCACCATCGTCCGTTCGGGTCGCAATGACGCTAAGAGTCGTTGGAGGTTGGCTATCCCTTCCCGGAAGGCACGCGATCCGTCATTTTCAACTGCAGCAAGAGCGATCCACGTTTCTATCATCGCCGGGGAGACAGCGTTACCCATGGCAACGGCAGAAGGTGCAGCAGCACCTGTCGCGGCATTCATACTTTCTGCAAGCCGCGTGAGATCGAGGATATTCACCTCACCATCGTTATTGATGT